ATTTGGCGATCGACATCGATATATTAAATAAAGTTTATATATTTTTTATTCTTACACACAAATGTACAACACATAGATAACAAAAACAGAATAAAAATATGATAGACTGCTCTATAATATGCATGCAAATGTAAACTTTTCTTTCTTTCAAATCTTACTACCATCTAAATCAACGGTCAATACACAAAGTCAATATCATCTTCGAACTGTTGTCAACCGTACATATTATCGAAAGTATAATATAGTTTTGTAATAATATATAAAAATAAACCCCATGAACTTCACCGTTCTATCTATTTAACATTTAAACGTTTCGGACGTTTCGCTGTTGATGATTTCTTGGACGAAAAATTAACTGGACATACACCGGTAGCTGAAACACAATCATAAGCATTGAATGCATTTGATGATGAAGCTTCATTAAGAATTGCAGGTGAATCATTCAAATTGAGTCCAGCTAATACTTCTACAAAGAAAAAATTGTTTTATAAGTTAAATTCAATTTAATATCATGCAACTTACGATCCAATGATCCTGTATATATATAAGCAAATTGATAAAGTTCTTCTCCTTTATAATATATAGTAATGTTCGCTTGGGCTTGAGGAACTTGTGTAAATGGGCAAGGTGGCATTGAAAAATAAATAAAATCTCCTTTTTTTGTAAATGATACTGGTTGAAACCAGCAAGTACCATCTTTTGATACAACTACTGTAATATCTTCTTTGGGAAAACGACCTTTAGTATGAGCATAAACTACTTCATTACCACACATTGGCCCAAATCGTGGGCCCATATGTACAACATCAATATCACCATATGCTTCAAAAAAAAATATTGAATAGATAAAATAATTTTCTATAAAAACAAAATCATTTACCTTCTTTCATTACACAGGAATATTCAGTACTACTCTCATCACGTTCAAATGTATTTTTTTCGGTTTCATAAAAGCGAGTAAAACGAAGCATCGATTGCTCTAGTTGTCGTGTTTTAATTAAATCTTTTGTTATAATTTCATCCTGTTTACTTTTAATAAGTTCAATCATAAAACTAAACATTAAAAAAAAGAAATATTATTTTATACATATAAACTATTTAAAAAAGCGAACTTACTTTTTATATCCTTTGTTAATATCTTCTTCAGTTACATAAAAATATAATGAATGTGGATCTTCAAGTTTTTGAAAGATCGGTGCAGTTTCATCGGTACTAGATTTATTATTACGAATTTTATAGCAATGTGAATCTTTATCTACGCCAACCAGAGTAACTTGAATGATGTTTTTAAGCGATTGAAGACACCATTCAAAAGGTATCTAATATACACGAAAGAATATTTACTATATACATATATACGAAGGGGTTTTAAGGAACATACATAAATAGATGGATGTTCATCTCCACTGTTTTGTTCGCATCGAAGATAATGTGCTGCAGTTTGACTTTCTTTTTCTGTTCGTGGGCGATACTTTTCGCGTGGATGAGATTTTATTTGAATTTTATTTCGTGATTCCATTGAATCCATTTGAAGAACTAAAAATTAAAAATAAATAGATTAATTATAAAGAAATATATATATATGTACCTTTTGCAAAATCTAAGTCATCTTCCATTTGTGCTGTAGTGCATGGTTGACAAACACCATAACCTAAGAGATAATAAAGATTAAATTAAATATTAATATGTATAGATCAATATACTTGAAAGAACATCAATTGGAGCAACAGTTGATGAAGCCTGTCGATAACCTAGAAATAAATAAACGATATGTTATTTAAAAATCCAAACAAAACAATTGATTTACTAGAACTTTTTCTTGATTTTGATGCATTTTTATATAGACGTTGTTGATTACGAACAACTTTGCTTGCTAAAATTGAATCTAAGATAAATAATTAATAAAAATAAATATATGTATGATTTTATTTACTATCGATTTTATTTTGTTCTACTGGTGAACTACCAATTTGAACTGATGATAACATATCTATTAAATAGAAAATTTGTTCAGTCAAAAGTTCAATAAATAAATTTATATTTACCTGTATTAGTTTGATTAATACTCATTCGATACAGAGTCTGTTCAATTGTACTTTGAGTCGGCACTTCACCAGTAGGTGTTGATAGCTCACCAATAGGTGTCGATATTAACGCGGAAATATCATCATTTTCTTCGGAATTACTAACTGGTGAAAAACCTTCAAAAACTACTGAAAAAAAAACAGTAATTTAATTTATGAAGATTAATTACTGATTATATTGTTTTTCTATTCAAGAAATAAAACAAATATGTTTAGTTTTTTTTTGTTTACTATGACTCAGTAATTGCATAAAGTAAATAACGACATGACGTCATGTATAGATGTTTTTTTTCTTCTTTCTATATGAAATTTTGAATGCAAATAATACTTACGATCCATGCCAGGATCAATTAAAGCATTCGATATATCATCAGAGGTGGATGATGATGCATGTTGATAATCATCTGTACTTAGAACGATATCGTCAAGAATCTTTAGATAGAATAATCAAATAGATATTGATAGGAAACTTTGTTTAGCTTACTTGACTATTCAACGAAGAATCTAATATATCTGGCGTTGAGGATGGTTGCCACTGACCACTGAGATTCAATGAATCCAATGAATTTAGAAAGAAATCCGCTTCCATCATTAATGTAAAGATTGATTAATTGATAAATTAATCTATAAAAACAAAATTAGTCAATTGCATTGTCAATATTACTAGATTAATCAGGCATGAAACAAATACGAATATCCAATGTTATGTATATCAGTATACATTTCATGTAAAAATAAAATATAATTGCATTTATATGTGTGTATTGGGAGACGGTTGTTAATGAAAATAAGTGATGAAATATTTTTTTTTGTTTTATTTACTGCGCCCCGTTTTTTACCTCTCCGTATCAACCATTCTTACAAAATGCAACCCGAACCCGACGATGTAAAGAAGAAAAAAAACAACATTTTTTTCTCTTTCTATTTCAGTCTCTACCATCATCAGTTGCATCTATGCGCGCCCCGATGTCGCCCTCGTCAAAAAAAAAAAGAAACCTATGATGATAATAAAAGAACGCGAAAAGAAATAACTGCTACTTTTATTATGTGTGTGTCATATGCATTTCTTTTTTCTTAGTGCGCATTTAAATTACATCTGTGAATGTATATATTAACAGGCACATATCGGGCCCTTAACATCAATAGATTGCAATGCATACGAGAAAAAAGAAGAGATGCGATGTAATCAATCACAGGTTACATATGAATAGTATCCATTTTATAAAAAAAAATGACAACTTAGTTAAGTTAACTTATCACACGGGAAACTATAATTAATAAAACAAATAAAAACTTATCACTGGTTTGTTCTTTGTTACAAAAAAATAATAAAAACGAATTACAACTAAAATCTATAAGTATTTTGTTTTTGAATTAGATGAAGAAAATAGTGATTCAAGTGCACCATTAAATGTTAAGTTGTGCAAAAGACGAAGTAGACATGTTGGTGGAAGCAAGGATTCAACCATTCGATAATAATCTGTTGGAGACTAAAAATAACAAAAAAAGATGTTAGAGTGGATAAATAAATTTATATTGTAACAATTTAATTTACATCAAATTTTACTTTATACAATTGCCATAATGTTGCTCCAGTAAAATTCCTTAAAGAATCTTCAAACCTAAAATAAACATAAAAATAAAAAAAACGAAAAATAGAAAAATAAATTTTACATTTGAAGTTTTTCTCGATTTAACCATTCAACAACATCATCAACATTCCATTCATTAACATTTTGAAAAGAAGTCCAATGATTATTCATTGTTGTCATTAATTGATTATCATGAACAGATGTTGAGACTAAAAATAAACTTTTCAATAAAAAAAACACAATTCTTAATATTCATATTTACTGCTTGTTCGATCATGACGATCAGCTCCAAGAGAAGAGCGAACAGATTCTATTTCACGTACAAGTGCATTGAATGCCTCATCAAATGCATGTTTACTAAAATCAATATGAAGTTTTGACCCATTGATTATTCCAAGCCAACCTAATGCTTTATAGTCAGATTGCATTAACATTGGAATAGATGCTTTATTTAATTCAACAGAATATTCAGCTTCTATAATAATAAAACATATTAAGAATTTCAAAAAAAGATGTTACGGAATATTTTACCTAATCGACAATATCGACTTTGATAATATGGTTCATTAATGGCCATTAAAACAACAAAAGAATTTTCAACAGCTTGAGCCATCGATCCAAATATATTGCCTGAGATATTATCTTGATCAATCCAAACTATATAATTCATATTCTAAATAGAATATTCGTCATTAAAAAAATATATGATTTTTTTTATTTTTCTTATTACTTTTAATGCTTTAGCAATTTTTGAACATAAAATTTTTGTTGAATGATTATAACTAATCATGATATGTCCAAGATCATTTTTATGTTTTTTTGTTTCAATATATTCAGTTGTAGTTGTAGTCGTTGTTGTGGTTAATTGTTGTTTTATTATTGAAATTGCTAATAGATAAAATTAATACAAATAACAAATAAAAAAGTTTATCTCCTACCATCTTTATCATCACTACAAGGCATAGGATAACTTTCTTCGAAAAAAATAGGTACTGCTCCTGTAGATTGAATTTCATAAGGATGATCTGTATCAGTTACAGTGCTCAAATAAGTTCCTACAGATAATTCAGTGTCTTGCGCAGGTGAACGAATATCATCACGCTCTTGTGATGGTTGAGGATGAAAAGATTCTATAGAATAAAATAACTATAATAAATAATCTTCGAATAAAATCATATACAAACTATCAAATGATTTTTCAGTAGGATCTTTTTGTAATTCATTTGGAAGGATACCTAGATAATTATAAAATATTAATTTATAAATAGATAAAATTAATAGGAAATATTTACTATCATCAATAGCTTCTGATGGTTGTTCATCAGTAGAATCTGATTCGTTTTCACTTTCACCTAGATAGATATCGAAAAGATTTTAATAGTATTGTATATGCGAACTTTCTGAAATGAATATAAACACATACAAGCATTATTACAGGATGAATAATTATGATTTAGATTTTGTTCCTCATTCATAGACGAAAATAAAATCTATTTAAATGAAAATGTTTACTTTTGGTGAAACAAAAAAAAAGTAACCTTACGTCTGAATCTGAATCATCTTGTGTTGTATTTATTTCATTTGACATTGTTGTTGGTATCGATGTCAGGAGTTCTTTGGAAGAATAAAAGTTTAACGATATTATTGTATAATAAAAAAAATGAAATATCATACGTAATTGATCTGATTCTGTAGTATCCATGATAGGTCAATAGACATAGATTGAAGTCAATTGATCAATACCAATGAATCCGACTTTATCTAGTCGTAATCTAAAATAGTATGTAGGAAATGTGTTAGGTTGGTATTTTTATTATATTAATCAATATATATACAAAATAGAAAAGAAGCCTTAGTAACACGTGAATGACGAACAACTAGTTAATTTTATCAATCCATCTACTCGGTAAAAGGAATGAAAGAAAAACAATATTATATTGCTTCTCTTTGTTTCAGTGAAATAACTTGTCAGAGAAAACGTGCCCACATATTTCATTATTGACTTAGCAATTACTTATATGTGGTTAATAGCAAATAATTAATCATATAAAGTGTTGTTTTGATATTTGAATCGAAATGTTTGCAAATATGATTTATTTTTAACCCAACTTTAGTAAATACGAAATAGTTTATAAAACATGTTTCGATTTTATAATGACCTGTTAGTTAAAAAAACATTCGAGTCGCCGAACTTTTAATGACGTCTGTCGTTTTTTGAAGCCTCATATACTGTCGCGAACTTGAAAAGAAAGAGAAAGAAACATATATATATAATAGTCATATAGTCATTTATTTTGTTAAATATAATGATAAAGAAAGAGAAAAACATACAAAATTGATCATGCTGATAGAATAACAAGATAGAGAAAAAAAATGACAGTCATTAAATATTGGAATGACAAAAAAAAATAAAGTACCTAATCAAAGTCAATCTTGTCATGTATCACAAAGAAAAAAAAATATCTCAACAATGATCACTTTAATTGATTCAATAAAGACTGTATCAATAAATTTAGATTAATATAAAAAAAGAAAAGAAAAGAGATTCATAACCATTGAATATATTTATACATATATATTATTAATTGCTTTGATAAAACAAAAATGAAGTTAATAATTGAGCTTAAATAAGAATTTTTGGTTCCGTAACACTTTCACTAATTGATTTATGTGGTAATATAACACCACCATTTATAAATAATTCGTCTTGTACGGATACATCAAGACCAAGAACAGATGTATTTTCCATACGAACCTAAATAAAATAAAACGAAATGAAATTTAAATTCTTTAAAGAAATAATTTACCCATTTGCCAATACTACATCTCCAACCAACAATACAATTAGAAATCCATGTATGACTTTTAATTAATGAATCAGCAAGTACTGTACAATTTTTTAAACAAACACCATCTTGAATAATAACACGAGGACCAATAACAACATTAGGTCCTATATGGCATCGTTCACCAATTCTAGCTGTTGGATCCTATACGAAATTATTCCGATTAATCAAATGAACTTAAAAATAATATATAAATTTTATACCAGTAATACATTGCCTACAATACTGTTTTCATGTGCTAATCGTTCTGGATATGAATGACGAATATGATTAAGATATAAACTCATGCCAGTTAAATAATCTTTAGGTTGACCAACATCCATCCAAAAACCTATAAATAAAATTTTATTTTAACATAAAGATTTATCTCCATTGCTAACAATAATTTGGCCAAATCCAAAATTAACTATTAAGCCAGGGTGTGGGTGAGTGATGATGGGTGTGGGATGGGCGAGGGTAAGATAAGAATACATACCCTCAAGATGGCTAATATTCTGATTCACTCTTTTTGTCAACATCTTTATTCGCGGGGCCAGCGTAATCCTTCTTCTTAGACGTATGAAAAATCTTTTTTTCATAATTCAATACATAGCTTTGATTAAATACTCTATTTATTTACCTTTAAGTTCAAAGGCATACAACTGTTCATCTTCTGCCATAGCTGGAAAAGTTTCTTTTTCGATCGATGTTGGACGTAACTAAAATATTTATATGATTATTATCTATTACAACATATTAAATTATAATACTTCAATTCGGTTAACTATTGTTGGATTGAATATATATAAACCAGCATTAATTTTATTCGAAACATATTCCCGTGGTTTTTCAACAAATCGGTCAATTTTACCAGAACTTTGTTCATAAATAACAACACCATACTTTGATGGTTCTTCAACTTTTGTTACCTGAATAATAAAAATAAAAATAGTATAGTATTTAGAATTTTTTGATATGATATTCATTGTACATACACAAATAGTACCTTCACATTGATGATTTTTATGAAATTTAATCATATCATCAAATGGAAATTCACATATAATATCAGAATTTAGTACAAAAAATGGATCATTATCTGATTGGAGATGTTTACGTGCTAATGCCAATGGGCCAGCTAAATAACAATAAAACGAAATTATTATTATTATTAAAAACAACAACAAATAGATTTAATATTCTAACCTGTCCCCAATGGTTCTGTTTCTTGTGAAAGTGTTATTTTTATATTTAAACGTTTAGCTTCGACTTCCATTTCTCGTTGTAACATATCTGATAAATAACTAACAGCTAAAATTACATGTGTAACACCAGCCTAAATATAAATCTCTTAGATAATGAAATAGATATATATATATATAAATTCATACGTGTGCTAAAGCTTCGATTTGGTGAAATACCATTGGCTTATTACAAAATTCAACTAATGGTTTGGGTTTTGTTAGGGTTAATGGACGTAATCGTGTGCCATAACCACCAACAAGAATAAGGGCTTTCATTTTTTTAATTAATAAAAAATTATCAGTGTAACAAAAAAATATTAAAAAAATTTATCTAAAACAAAATAAATTCTCAAATAATGCCTTCTTAGTCAAAAAAATGAATTTTATTCCATGGTCAAAACTGAAAAACGCATACCTAAAATATCGATTTCTGTGAAAGAAATATTATTCTATTACTTATCTATCAAATATTACCAATTTATAAAATAAGAAAATTCAAATAGAAAACGATTCCTTTCTTTTCATAGAATCATGATATTAGTCCATACAGTAAAGTCCTTAAGAAAAATAGCGTGAAAGAAACATAGATAATGTATACTGTTTTGTGCTATTCATTATATAGAAGACACTGACAAGTAGTCAAATCATAGAAAAGTAATTTTTATCTTATACCTTTGATCGATTAAAGGCGACACCTTTTGAAAAACGAAATGATTTTCGAAAATAACAAACATATATCATTAAAAAAAATCAGTAATAAAAGTAAACTTTAATTCATTTACCATCAAATGCAAAATAATTATAATAAATATAATGTTCATCGAAAAATAATTTTTTTATTATTATCTATCTGCCGTATCGAAGTTATCACCTTGACAAGTTCGATCATCAAAGTTCTTTTCGGAAGAGTGAAACTACATTATTTACTATTTACATTCTTTACATATATATTTTTTTCGGTAGTGGTACTTCTTTCGCAGTCTCATAAATTCTATGTTGAATTTCGTTTTCCATTGACTATTCCTATTTGTATTTATTAACAAGGATGATTATGTTGATACAGTCATGGTAAGCGAACAGAAAATGTATGTGACAACTCAAGCTCAATAGCTTGCATGAGCTGAACCGAAGAACGGGGTCGCCAGTTCAAACTGATATGAGCTTGAGATGGCGGCCAGCTTATTTTATTCATAGATTAATCATTATATTACATACAAACGTAAATAATATCCAACTGTTCACGTTTAACGATTATTTTTGACAACGAACTTATTAATAAAAGCTTAAAATAATTCTTTCCAAACGTTTGTATGTAATATAATGATTAATATGTGAATAAAATGAACTGGTCGCCATCTCCAGCTCAATTGAACAAGAACTGTTCAAACAGTTTCGATTTATTGAGTGGAACTGGAGTTGTCACATACCTATTCAAGAAAAATCATAGACCGTTGAGTTATCCAAATACAGCAGTTGGAATAAATTCCGAAAGACGATATACAGACAAATTAAGGAAAAAGTTAAGCAGATGTGCCGTATTAGAGGAGAAAGTACAACCAGTAAATATTATAGTTTCACTCTTCCAAAAAGAACTGCAATACGACATAAACTACAAGCAGCTGAAATTTTTCTAATAAATAATCAAATATTTGAAATAAAACCGCTCTGATTTGAATATATCAAAATTAACGTACACTAGTTGAAAATATTACATTACTTACCTTCCTATAATGTCCTTCGATAAAAATGTATGCCTGACTTATTCTATGATGCACTGCATAGTTATGACGATAAAATAAAATCAAACAATTAATATGTCAGGTTGTTTTTATTCATGAATAATATGTTTACGTTATTAACAAGGTAAAATGTGTAGTTTCTTACAGTATGTTATCACTTATATGCACATAAGCAAAAGCATATGTCATTAATGACATGAAATTCATGATAATATCAAATAAAGTATAACGTCAATTATTTGTGAATAGATGAAATTTATTCACCTTGTAAAACAAACAAAAAACAAATGAATATATCACCGTTTGATTTCAAACATACAAAAAGACTGTGATTATATACATAAAGAAGAACGCTATTGAAAAAGAAAAGCATTAGCGTATTATACAAAACGAAAATGAGACGATTTGGTTTTTCTTTATTGTTCACATAGAGACAGATACACAAATACAAAAAAGAAACTAAATAGAAATAAACTATCGCCGTTGAATATTCTGATTACGTATAAAGGGTACATGTGATCGTGTGCACTTGTTAGCATAATGGCTAAAATATATTAAAAACAAAATGAATTTAAGACAGTAATATAAATTATTTTATATCTTACCCTCGTTCGCCACATTTGAAACAAGTAACATCATGTTGAAAAGGTTGTGAAAGACCCATTCCAGGAGGATGTTGTTCATCAGGTGGATGTAAATTACCAGTTTGTTGTGGTTGTCCACCGTCTTGATGATTATTTATATTCTGATTTTGACCAAAAGGTGGTCGATTATTAAATTGTTGTGTTTGATTATTATTTGATGGCATATTAAGATATTTTTGTCTTTCTTCATATGGTAATTTAAAACATGATGAAGCTTTATGTCCTGTTTCATGACAAAAATCACAAACATAAACAATTTTACGTTGTACAGGAGTAAATTCATTTGAATTAGGTAATTCAAAACTTGGATGTGATAATGTACATCTTGGTCCTTCAGGACAAAATCCACATAAATAATTTTGACAGAGAACTTTACGTGTATGACGATTTTTACAATTTGGTCCATGACGACAAAATCCACGATCATACCAAGGACAATCTTAAATGTTTCAAAAATAAAACTCTAATAAATTTTGTTTTTGCAAAAAACATACCACGTATTTTTGATTCTGGATCAAGATGAAGAAAAGCACATTCTTTATTCATGCATTGTCCAAATTTTGAAAAGAAATAACATTCAGGCATTTTAGCCATATCATATTCATGAAGAAATTCACAATCATCACCTACACGAAAAAAAAATGATTTATGAAATCAAAAATTGTAATATCAGTTTATTTATTCGACCTTTTTTACATAGACCACGTAACCAATGTTTACATACAACTGTTTTATCTCCATGTATATGACGAAAGGGACAACGTTGATTTGAACAACCAGCACGAAGAAAAAATTCACATACACCAACATTTGCTTTATCCATATTTGGAAATGGTAACGGCAATGCACCTTGTTGAGAGCATACAATTTCATCAAGATCGAAATGTATGTTCTGTACAGGTGCTATAATATCTTGCATCAACATATTTTCTTTATAAATACAATTCAAAAATGAAAATAGGATAGATATTATTATTTGTAATTTTATGTGTTCATCAATGGATAATTATTTTAACCATTCAAATTAATATTTAGATGGCGCCACATGTATGATTAATTCTTTATTTAATATGCATATATTTGTCTTTTGAACTATTGTTGTCTCTTGATAATGTCGGAAACACGAAAGAAACCTCGATCTCGTCGTTCATTTGATGATCTACCTGAATTAACAACGCTAGAAAAAACTATTGCAAAATATCTACGATTTCAATGTTCAACAAAAAAAGGAATTTTAATGGGTATGCAAGTTGTTTATTTTAATGGTTCAAAAGCAGTTGAATGTCTTACTGAATCTAAATGGTCATCAATAAGTACGAAATGTTCAAATAATGGTAAAAATCCAATTTGTTTCTCATCAAAACATGATGCTGTACAGGTATGATAAAATTTTTTATAAATAAATAATCAATAATTTTATTCACAAAAAAAAAACTCATATAATATTAGATGCTACGAAAATTTTTGGATCATGAAATGTTTCGTCGCGTTATTAAAGTTTATAAAGATAAAAATCCTTCAACTGAACCTGCTGATGATACATCACAATCGAATACACCACGTCCTATTCGTCAACGAAAGGCAAAAACTGATGAAACAACTGTTGAAAGTTTAACAAATGAAGATAAAATAAAAAAGAAAAAATTTAAATTTGAATTACATGATGATCAAATATTTGTTGATTCATTCAATGATTTTTATGTATGGATTTATTCACCAACAACAATAAAGCAATATATCATAGGTGGTTTACTTGTTATTGGTTGTATTGGTATTTGTCTTTTTCCATTATGGCCTGCTGAAGTACGCACTGGAGTGTATTATTTATCAATGGTACTCGCTAGTTTACTTGGTTTATTATTATCATTAGCTGTTTTTAAATATATTATTTTTGCTTGTATATGGTTAATAACAATGGGTAAAATTAAATTTTGGTTATTACCAAATTTAACTGAAGATGTTGGATTTATTGAATCATTTGTTCCATTATATGTTATTAATGCACCAAAAAAAGATATCAAAAATAAAAAAGAATTAATTAATAATCAAAATGAAAATGAACAAATGAATAAAGAGAAATTTTTATTAGATTCATCAGATGGTATAAATAAAAAGAATAAACACCAAAAATTAATTGATGAAGGTTTTGAAGTACTTTCAAAAGATGAACTTGAAACGAAATAATACAAAATATGAGAATTTATGTAATATATGTATATATTCAATGAACAGTATGTGTTTATGTTGTTATGTACACAATTTATATATATATATAAGAATATTATACACAATTGTTGTTGTTTTAGTAATGTATGTATTAACAATTTATTGTATTTTATGAAGTTTCCATTGTCACTTCAATACATAATATGAACATTAATATTTTATTGTATTTCGATGTTTGTACATATGAGAAACTAGAGTCAAATCTGCAATGATCAAAAATGGCTAAACTTCTCAAAGATTTTGAAATAGACGAAGAAAGAATTATAGTCAAGATGATTTTAGAACGAGACTGAATTAGAAGCAGAAGTCTGACAATTCATTGTCGTTATTATATTAATAGTGTCAGTTTTGTCAATGGAAACTAAGATTATCTGACCACATCTGCAGAATGGATGATAACAGGTTAATCAAATACACGGTATTTACAAAAACGAACAGAAAATCTGGAAGAAGATGCCCATGAAGAGAATGGAGTGGACGAAACCGATGGGCATGGAACAATCAGATCCTGTAAATGATTGATCTCAACAGGCGTTACTTCTGGCTTGACCTTAGAGAAGATTAAATAATAATGGATGAGTCGAAAGTTTCCAGATAATATATTTGTTCATTTTTCGCTCATACAAAAATATTCTAGACGGATGCAAGAAGATGAATAAGAACCGATATTTTGTGCTCTTTCCGAATGTGAGCTCAAAAACTTTCTATGTATTTTTGGACATTCCAGAAAATAGTCATTTGCTTCTCCTTTAAGACCCTATATTAACTAGCTAATTATAGTTGGATATGACAGTTTTGTAGAACTAGTATAGCTTTTATACTAGAGAAGCTATGAGCATCTTCTGAGAAACCACTTCTATGTGAGAGTGATTTCTCAAAAAATGAGAATAATATGAAATTAAAAAGGTGTGTGAAAAATATTTCCTTTCAAACTAATTTTTTAAGTCTCTTAAAGATTCTCTCACTATATTCGAAAAACTTCGACTCATCCGTCAAATAGGCCTTCATTAAAATGAGGTTTGAATGCAGAATAATTGTAAATGACGAAATATTTTTCTTTGTTAGTTCCATAAAGTACATAATTAACTTATAGCTTAAATAGTATGAAAGTGGTAAATTTCAAAGTTCGAGCATGTCCATCAAGGTTTAAAAAACACGTGACTATTTTCTTTTGAAGCAAACTGAAATTTTTTGACAAAATTATTAAATGCTCTATATATGTTATCAATGGTAAAAGTTAGTTCTATCTTGAATATATAAAGAGAATGAGAGTTTCAATATTCTTCTAAGAACAAAGAATTCAATGTATTCGATAATCATATTTTTATAATTGACTTACAATGCTAGTTGATGATAAAATATCTAATTTATCTATATCAATTCTTGATCAGATAATTCCTTCTTGAAGATTAAAGATTCAATATTTATTTAAAAATAAAAGTTACTACAAAATCAATCTAGCTTAATGTACTGGTTGACCGGTTTCGATTACTTTATGTATTTGAATTATATTATCATCTATAATCACTCTCAATCTCCACATCTGTATTAACAAGGATATAATCAAAATGAACAAGTATTCAAAATGATAACGTTATACATATGTCAAACAGTTATTTTATTAAGTATATTAGTATAAATTTATAATATGTAGAAAAGTATAAAACATATTTTTGTTGTTTATTACCTTGCGTCAAATGCAATTTTTTTATGCTCTGATACACCTGGTTGACGACAAAAAAATGTACACGTACACTTTGCTCCTATAACTAAAGCATAAAGACGCATTTTGCTTGAGATTTTTACCGTAACATACTGTGCAGTATTTACCAACTTACAATGTTCGCTCGCTCGTTTTCAAGCTCCTATTTTATTGCTTTAAAATCTGTCTAATTTACGAATTCTTAATTCATATATATATATTAACTAACAATAAAGTACTATATCTATTATTTCGTATGCATGATTTCTACTGACCTCTTTTTTTTTTGCTATTTCTGTTCGCGAATCAACAATCTAATCATATTCAACATCCAATAAAAACTTTTTATCAAATTGCATAAATGTGTCACATTATTGGATGCATATAAATAGAGAGAGAACATGCTGCATCTTTGTATTCCCAAATAATACACGTAAGAATCAATATGGCCGCTGCTTATACTTTTATATTTCTTTCGTTTATGTTTTTTTTTTTATCTTTTTACCTGAGTCGGTAGATCGATTTATTTTCGTTTTCTATTCTAGAACATAATCCATCGAATTATCTCAATAATAATACATTATCATGACTGATCAAATTGGACTTGTTTATGGCGGTGCATTAAGTATATTATTTATTTTTAATGATATTTATTTTGTTTAAAAAAAGATTTTTCTTTTAGTCCTTGGAGGTTTACTTGGTTATTTGAAAGGTCGTAGTGCAATTTCACTTTTATTTGGTAGATTATTTTTCTTTGTAAAAGATTTTTTCGAATAGATTTTATTTAGGTATTGTTTTTGGCGCTTGGTCTATTTATAATGCATCACATCCTACACGTCAAAACAATGTTGCTAATTTAGCTGTGAATATAGATGAATAAAATCTTCTATTCATATATTAATTATTTATTTTTAGATTGGTGCCGTTATCGGTGTTGTTATGTTATTAAGATTTTTAATTGGCGGTAAATGGTTTCCAACACTTCTTATTCTTGGCTTATCAGGTGTACAAGTTTTTCGAAATTATCCATATCTTAAATGATTATCATTAATTAGAACATAAAATACTGACTTTTTTCTTCAGTTTCTATACTTAATCTGGCTGGTTATTTGTTTTTGTTCTTTTTTTTCTCTCTCTCTCTCTCTTGTTATGTGTATTGTGTTCTATTATATGTCATCGTTTCTTAACTATTTCTTATATACAAACTAATTTTTGTCATGTATTCGTAGTAGAACTTTAAAAGATAACAACTATAAGACAAATAAATCTATTAGTATTTCATCATCTAGTGCAATGCGAAAAACAAAAAAAAAGATTAATTGTTTTCTTTTATTTTTATTTTCTTTTTAGAATGTGCATTTTTATGCGAAATTTTCTTTGTTGGGATTGTATCAGTAACAATTAAAGAATAACAATGTCCTATCCACCACATATGCCAATGATGCCTCCTATGCCCTTTTTCCCTCCAGGAGCGCCAATGATGATTCCACCTAATGTAAGTATTTGGTAATTGTTCAAGAAGAAAAACAAAATATATGATTTATTGTTTAGATGTCAACACCACCACCAGGAATACCAACAGCGACTAATGGTACTCATAAACCTGGAGAAACTGACAAGGTTTGTTTTTTTTTGAATATATATAATGATTCTTTATTTTTGTTTTATTCTAATAGAAAAATCGTCTTCAAACAGCTACAACAGTATTTGTTGGTAGTATTTCTGATCGAGCACCTGATACTATGATTAAACGAATGCTTCATGTAAGTAATATTATTAAAAAGATAAACTTTTGAGAAAGTGAAGAATCATCGGTTATCTTCTCAAAATTATAGGACATTAAAAAAAACCATCGGGGTATTATGTAGTACATGTTATCTAAAATTTTCAGTATAAAAATGACAACCTTTGTCCTTACTCTGACTCATATACTATGCATTGTCATTGACGAGGTGATTCAACAAACTGTTTTGTATTTAGAATTGTGGTAGTGTTGTCAATTGGAAACGTGTTCAAGGTGCCAATGGTAAACTTCAAGGTAAAATATTTTATTCCATTTGATGAAATTTATCTTTTTTTGTTTTTAGCATTTGGTTTTTGTGAATATGAAAATCCTGAAGGTACACTTCGTTGTATACGTTTACTTAATGGTTGGCAAATTCAAGATAAAAAATTAGTTGTAAGTGATTTTTTCTTTCCAATCGTTTTTCTTTTCTTTTGGATCATCAAATATTAGATATTTATTTCAAATACATAATCATGTAAGTGTTTTGCATTGTGTAAGAACCTCCCGGATATTTTCAGTCGATGAACAGATGTGTCCTAACTTATTTGATTTGGTTATACAAACACGAGAAAGACATTAATCTGGTAACAATTTGTACACATGATTAATAAAGTGATTTTGTTCTATGAAAAATCTTTTTGTTCTTAGTATTAATTGAACACAAATTGCAATTCTTTCATAAAAAATATACAAGAGTGAGTGGTACCTTCTATTGAGATATTTCTTTTTTTGTTTTTTTTGTATTCGAGATCAATCCAGAATATATGTGTATACATATATTCAGTTTAATTTTATATTAAATTTTCGTATGAAATATATTATGTATTTATTTAGGTTAAAGTCGATACTAAAACAAAAGCAATACTTGATGAATATAAAAAAAAGAAACGACATGAATTAGCAAAAAAAGCAGCTAATGATACAACAGCATTTAAATTTATTTATGAAGATGATGAAGATGATGATACGAAAAAAACGAACAGTACAGATTCAGATGCAAAAGTAAAATGAGAGAATTTTCTTTTTTTTTTCGTTTTCATATTTGATTTTTTTTTTATAGAAAAAATCCGGTGAGGAAGGTGAAATTGAAGAAGAAGAAGATGATTATATTGATAATGAAACACGTCGCGAAGATTTAACCATAAAATTATCACTTGAAACAATTATGCGAGAATATGCTCGAGAAATGAATCAACGTGCATTAGAAGCAAAAGAAATGGCAGCTCGAGAAGCTCAAGCAGCCGCAGCAGCAGGACTAATACCAAATATGCCTCCTGTATCTCAACTACCACCGACACCTTCAAATACACCAACTAATCCTACATCAGATACATCATCATCATCAGCACCATCATCAAATACAACTAGTCCATCAGGACGACGTAATGATGGCACAGTTTCAGTTGATGATGAAGAAGGAAAAAGAAGTTTAATATCAAATGAAATTCTTATGTTTCGTGATCGTTTCAAAGATGAAGATACAAAAATGCGTAATACAGAAAAAGAACGAAAAGATCGTTATGAACGTGAACGAGCATTGCAACGTGAGAAACGTGCAGCTGAAGAAGCTGCAACTAGTCGAGATAATAAATCATCCGTATCACCATCTTCACGTAATTCACCACCATCATCATCATCTCGTGATCGTTCATCACCAAGACATGATCGTGGTAGTACAAGTCGACGTGATCGTTCATCACCTAGTGATGATCGTTACCGTAGTTCATCATCAAGAAATAATACAAGTAATGCTGTACGTAGTAATCGTCCAAGTGATCGACGTAGTCCTCCACCATCACGATATGATCGTCGTTCACCTGTTCCATCATCATCATCACGTCCATATAGTCGTCGTTCAAGAACAAAATCACCATTACCAAAAGGAGGAGGAGGAGGACATGCTGTTGTTGATGAAGATGATGATGAAGCTTATGAAAGAAAAAAACAAGAAAGACGATTACGTGAAAAAGAAATTCGTTATAGAGATGTAAGTTTTTAAATATGAAATAGTTAACTTGACTGATATTTTTTTTTCTTCTAGAGATTGAAAGCATGGGAACAGCGTGAACGAAAAAAACAGAATGATTATGAATTAGAAAAACGTCGGGAATTAAGTCGATTACATGATGAAGAAAAAGAAGGCAAACGTTTATTAGCATTTCTTGAAGATTATAATGATGAAAATGATGATCCAAAATATTACAAGTATATATTTTATATTTAAATAATTAATTGAAAAAATCTTATTTTTCTGTTTTTCAATATAGAGGTACATCATTAGCTCGTCGTTTAAAAGATCGTGAACATGAAATTGAAATAGATAATCGTGATCGACGTCATGAAAAAGATGAAATTGAAGAATTACGTCAAAAATTATTACTTCAAGATAATATTGATGATATTGAATTAGAAATAAAACGACGTTTAGAAAAAGAAGAAGAATTAATACGTAAGCGTTTAGCTGATCTCACACGAGCAAGTGATGAATCTGCTGATGAATCAGATAACGATGAACAACAAGCTGTCAGTCGAAAAGATACTGCTGTTCTACCTTCCGAATCAGCTAATAATACTAGTAAGATAAAAGTTTTTCGTAAGATCTTATATAACTATTTTTTCTTTTAGGTACGGAAAGTATGGATCATTCACTACGACAACCAGCATCTCCACAAATTGGTTTGTTGAATATATATATATAATTTAAATTTCATTTCTTGTTTTTTCCTATTTAGAAGTTAAAGTTAGTCCACGTCAAACATCTGCACTTGGTGGTGCACCAATTACAGGTACAAAACTTCCTTTAAAACGAAAATTAGCCGTAAATGAAGTAAGATTTTTATTTTTTAATGAAGCCGTTTTTTTTTATCTTTGAGGAAATCTCTTTGTAGGCTTTTCGTGATGATCAAGAAGATGATAATACAAATGCTCTTCAAAAAAAATCAAAATTAACTGCAATACCTGATCAACCAGCTATTCCAATTTCTCAAACTTCTCCACATATTAAAGAAGAACAAACTAATCGACCATCATCAGGAAAAACTACAGCTGTTACACCTACAACAAATGTTAATTCTGCTCAAGCACAAGAAGAAAAACGTCAAGCTGTACGAAAATTAATTGAAAATATTCCAACAAAAAAAGAAGATTTATTCACTTTTCCACTCGATTGGTCACTTCTTGATTTCGTACGTATAAAGATTTCTCCTTAATTTTCATTAAGAGTACTAGTTTAAAATATCCGTCTCGAAAATCACTTATTCGATATTTTTTTGGTCTATGCTTAAATGAATTAAGGAGAATAGTATGTTGAGAATGTCCGGTAGCAAATCGCAATGGTTAATACGTATGACCCTGATTAGACATGCGCAGGATAAGCTTTTCTCTTACCTTTACCCTGTAACTCTGATCAAAAACTGAATTATCATTTTTTTTTTCGGTAAAAATTCTAACATTAATTTTTTGTTATAGAATCTAATGGAAAAACGTATTAAACCATGGGTAACAAAAAAAATTGTTGAATATATTGGTGAAGAAGAAGCAACATTAACAGATTTTATTTGTACATCAATAATGTCAAAAAAAAGTGCAGAAACAATCTTATCTGATATACGTGTTGTACTTGATGATGAAGCTGAAGTATTTGTTGTTAAAATGTGGCGATTAATTGTCTATGAAATTGAAGCTAAACGCTTTGGTCTAAGCAAATGATTGGCTTTTTGTCCGATTTTGTTCTCGGTGTGTTTGTGTGTGTGTGTGTGCGTGTATTCTTACATGTTTTTCTCTTCTTTATTATTAAGACAAAAAAAACAAGAAAATAGATGAATTAAAGTGCGTTTCTGTTATGTACAAATATCAAGTCTATTCAAGTTAAACACGAAAACGTACTTAGAAATAAACTTGTCTTTTTTTAATATATAAAAAAAAGAAAGAAAAAAAACGTTATGATATGTGTATGTATTTGTCATTTTTCTTGCGCTCGCTCTCTCTCTCTCTCTTTTTGTTCTCTTTCTCTTTCTTTTGTGTTTGTTTCTTTTTCTTCTTGTTTTGTCTGTGATTTTTTCAGCACATACAACAAAAAAAGGAGGGAAAACAAGAAGTTAATATTGTTACACATATGAACTTTAATCTTTTCTTTTTCTTCAATGGATAGTATGTTTTCAAATACCAAGAGATTTTGACAGATTAGGAAATATTTAATATGAATCATTGTAAAACTTAAATATGGCTTTTAATAATGCAACTATTCAAAATATTACAAGTTAACAATGGAAATATAGTATAATATACTTTTAAATGATAATAAAAACAAATTCATATCTTTTGCTCGAAAATAACACAATATTTTGAGTATGATTTTTGAACATGAATTTGCTTATTAACAACATAAAAATCGAACATATTAGAAAGAATTAAAGTCATATTAATACACACTCTTATGCTTATGTAGTACTCTAAATGTGAGTTATTATCGTAATGATTACACCATATGTCTTTCAATGTAAAGTGTTAAGCATGTTTTATTTTAAAATTATTAAGTACATACAATATGAAATCACAAAAAGAAGAATAAGAAGTGTCTGTTTGTAAACATATAGCAAGTCTTTATTCTTTAATATCAAGTATCATATTAATAGAATAAGTGCTGTCAGTGATATTAGTTCCCCAACCGATATTGATTCGAACTGCAGTTAAAATACATTTACTCTGAACTGAACAATTATGATGAATTGCGCGAAACTTGTTATCTCCGTTTACGTAGGCATATGAACCATTACCAGATGGTGCCCAAACGAACACCGTGTAGTCATTTTTTATATCACCCTCTAATGGAATATTTAACCATTTCAGGGTGGAGTCGGTAGAATTAGCTGTTCCACGATGAATAATCAAACCAACATCGTTGACTATGAAACCTATATGTGATCCATTGTAATTTGATTGTATACGAATTGCACGGAGTACAAACGGTTTTTTCAGTGAAAACTTGTACCCTTGAGCATGGTTGAGGCCTCTTTGAGTGAATTGGTTGGTGCTATTAGGCTTAGAAATATCTAACGACTGACTTTTGACTGCGACACCATATTTGTTTATTCTATATAATTCACTATGAATATTACCAAGTTTTGAAATCATATCTTTAACAGCTTCTAAGTCTTCATCACTTCTTTTAAATGTATGTCTCATTATAATACAACCTTCATCTATTTTTCTATATTCTTCAGTAAAATCATTATAATTATGAGATAAAGCAGATTTGAATTTTAGTATTTGTATTGGATCATCTGAATTCAGTATCTGTCTACTACAAAGTTCTTGTACAGTAATTAAATTTAAATGTTGATCTATTTTAATTTGTTGTTGATTTAATATCTCTATTGATTGTATTTCTTCATCTTCTAACTCTTTGATAAGTATACATTTTCTTTCTTCTAATATTCGTTGTAGATTTTCGAACATTTGCTTGATATCATTTCTTTCTTGAGTCTTTTTTCGATTTTGTTGACTAATAGCATCTTTTGCTGTAGTAGAAAATTGCGTTAAATTTTGTTTAATTTCATTTATTTCTTGAGTTTTTTTCTCGAGATTTACTTTTATTTCCGTTGCTGCATCTTTCAGTGATAAATATTTATGATCTTTATGTTTAAATAATAAACAATCACGACAGACAAGCATATGACACTGTGTACACCAATATTTAAATTTTTCATCGGAATGTTCCAAACAAATAGAATGCGTTTTGTCGGATACTGGAACGATCGTGTGAGATTGTAAAGCTTTGATCGAATGTACGGATTTTGTACAAGGTTCACAGTAATGAAATGCACATTTTTCACACCAGTTTATACCTGGCTTTTCATTACAGTTATCACATAAAGGGTTGCCATTTGTTTTAAGTGATGGATTAAAGTTCGTTATAAACTCTACCATGTCTTTAGCTATTCGATTAATTGGTAATTGATCAATATCATTTCGATTAATTGTTGTATTATCTCGGAATGGACAGGCTGCTGTACCAGTTCCAACCAATTGTTGTATACATTTAAAACAAAATGTATGAGAGCAAGGAAGAATACGTGGATCTTTGTAATATTCTAAACATATAGCACAAGTAACGAGCTCTTGCAGTTGTTCGGTGTTCTTATTGTTAAGCGTTGCCATTTATACAAAAATGAAACTAGAAAAAAATGCAATTTTCGATGTAAATAAAATTCTTCTTCCTTGCCTAAATAAATGACACAGTAAGAGAAGAAAAAGAAAATAAGTAATCTTACTGAATATTAAATTATACGAGCAAGTTTTCTCTCACACAGTGGTGTCTTTGAATGGGTTTTTACTGAGTAAATAACTATCCATACCTTATAAAAATATAAGAATTTTGAAAGAAAAAACATCGCCAATGACACAAAAGTTACAAAAATAACAGCAAATAATATTTTCCGTGTAACAGTTGCAATTATTGACTCAATAAAAAATAATTTTTTTCTCTTGTGTTTGTGATTTTATTAACGAGTAGGCAAAAATGGCTAACTAACAGATGTAGTTTCATGTTGTTGTTTCCTTTAAAACATCATCAAGCTCACAACTATAACATAATGGAAAAAGAAATGCAAAAGATACATATTATATAGGTATCTGGATGCATTTTATTTAGAAGAAAACTGCAGATTTAGATTTTTGAGCGTCTGCGGATGCTGAAGTGCTTATAAAATTAAATATTTCATCAAAATAGTCTTTTTCTCATAAGAAAGAAGGCTTTGCGATAAGTTTATCAAAATTTTCGAGTTTGCAAAGAGAAAATGCAAGTTGTACATTCTCATCAACTTAGCACTTCCGCAACTGCGCACCATCTTAAAATATATGCATTGATCCTTTTCTTTTGGTTTTTATTCTTGATCAATAAAATCTGAATGAGATTGTATCCACTGTCGAAGTGTCAAAAACATAACGAATAATATTATGTAAGAAGGAGTCTATTAAAAATATTATGAGTGTTTGCAAATGTGCAGTTTCATGAACAAGACACCCACTTTTCCGTTGTTTGTTTAAGTGAATGTCTTAAACATCTAAAAAAACAACGTTTTGATGTAGAATGCAAAATATTTGATATCTTTTTTAAATGTGGATTCAATTAGTAATATAACGATTGGCTATACCCTATATAATATTTATATATGCCTATAGTGTTTCTATTAGAAGATTCATTAGTTTATTAAACTATGACCGTCATATTGTAGAAAATGAAATCATTCTGGTACAATGACCGTTGCTATTTACGAAAGCTTGTTTCTATGATCTATAAACTATCCATCATCAGTAGTTATCTATTATTGCAATGAGTAATAGTTAAATTATTTAATACAAAAATAATAAATGCATTATATTTTAAAATCTTTAAATATCTATGAAATACTATTAAAACTTCAAACATTCATTGATACAGGAAGTCTTTTGTTGTATCAAATTTTTATTCATTCTTACTCTTCCACATCAATTATCATACTAATAGAATGTGTGTTATTAATTACAGTCAATTGTAAACCTATATTGAGTTGTGTTGTCATATTACATAATTTACTTTTAACTGAACAATTTTCAGTTATTTTTCGAAATTGATTATCTCCATTTTTATACGTATACGATCCATTATCTGATGGTGGTAGTATTAATACACCATAGTTATCTTTAATTTCAAATTCCATTGGAATTATCAACCATTTCATCGTTGCATTAACTGAATTAATTATACTTTTTTGAATAACAGTATTAGCATCATTAACTACAAATCCTATAACTTGTCCAATATGATCTGATTGTATACGAATTGATCGAAGTTTCATTGGTTGTTTTAATGAAAATTTATAACCACGAGCAATATTCTGTTCTTTTGAAATAATACTATTACTACTATCACTAATTTTGGAAATATCTAATGGTATTGTTCTAATTGCCACACCATCTTTTTTCACAACATGTGCTTTACTTGTAATACTACCAAGTTTGGAAATCATATCTTGAAGATCTTCTAAATCTTTATCATTTCTTTTAAATGTATCTCTCATTATAATACAACCTTCATCTATTTTTCTATATTTTTCTATAAATTCATTATAATTATGAGATAAAGTAGATTTGAATTTTAATATTTGTATTGGATCATCTGAGTTCAATATTTGTCTGATACAAAGTTCTTGAACAGTGGTTAGATTTAAATGTTGATCTATATTAATTTGTTGTTGATTTAATATTTTTATTGATTGTATTTCTTCATCTTTTAACTCTTTGGTAAGTATACATTTTCTTTCTTCTAACATTTGTTGTAGATTAGCAAATGTTTGTGCAGTATCTTGCATTTCATGACGAGCTATTTCACGTTGTCGTTCAATAGCATTTTTTGTTGTAGTTGAAAATTGTGTTAAATTTCTTTTAATTTCGTTTATTTCTTGGGTTTTTCTCTCGAGATTTCCTTTTGCATCCATGGCTGCATCATCCAACGATACAAATGTATGATCTTTATGTTTAAATAATAAACAATCACGACATACAAGAAGATGGCATTGTGTACACCAATATTTAAATTTTTCATCCGGATGTTCTAAACAAAATGAATATATTTTATTTGATAATGAAACAATTGTATGAGCTTGAAAGATTTTTATTGAATGTACTGATTTTGTACATGTATCACATAAATTTGTAGCACATTTTTCACACCAATTTAACGCTTGTTTTTCATTGCAATTCTCACATGGGTAATAAGTTTTTTCATCAAGTGATGGACTAAGACTCACTACAAAGTCTACCGTATCTTTAGCTGTTCGATTAATTGGTAATTGATCGATATCATTTTCATTTATCATTATATCATCTTTCATTGGACAGGAAAATTTGCCATCTTTAACCGATTGATGAAGACATTTTAAACAAAATGTATGAGAACATGGAAGAATACGTGGATCTTTGTATTTTTTTAAACATATAGTACAAGTAGTGAATTCTTGTAATTGTTTTGTATTAGAATCATTAAGCATTTCCATTTTTTCGTAAGTCTATGTCTTAATTGTTGTTATTGTAAAAGCACGTTTCAAATGTTCTTACGTATTGTCGTCAAGTTGTTAACAATACTATTGTTAAGATGAAGGTGACAAAAGTTTTTTTTTCTTCTTCTCTTATTTTAATTCTATGCATATGTGACTAATCAAGAATATGTTTTTTCTTTAAATAAAAGAATTTTGAAGAAAAGAAAAACTCTCAAGTATCTATCAGTATAAGACAAATAATCAGATGCTTATTAATACATATAAATCTTATAATTGTCTCGAGAAACACATTCATATCCGGGTCAATTCATACATCTACCCACGCCTATAATCACAAATTCAGACAGTCACCCACACCCTCAAGATAATAAAACTTTATATAATTTAGTCTGTAAATGAAATGAATTTGTTGTTCCTCATTACTAATACAATTTATATTCTATACAGAAATGAGTAAATAACATTCAAAGCTATAGAGATAAAAGTACTTGATATTTTAGCATTGACATAATTGCTCTAATAATATGACACCTGACATTCATTTTCTTTGTCAAGTTGATTCATCGTCTAAATCATAAAATTGAGACACTATAAAATGTTTGACTTCGTAACTATTTGATTCAGTTAGAGAGTATTAATCGAATAACAATGAATCGTAATAATAATACAGCATCTTCACGTTCAAATAATGATGGTCATAGTTATTATAAAATAACGCGAACAGTAACAAATTCGGATGGAAAAAAACAAACAGAAACAGTTGAAATGGTGGATGATGACGCAATCAAAGTAAGATAGTTGAATAATAATTATTAGATTTTTTTTATTTTGTAAAATACTGTAGCATATGCAAAATTTACGTTTACAACATGATGATAAACGAGATGAAAATCGATTTGGTTTTCATTCATTAAGAAATCCAAAAAGTCTTTTTCGATCAACAAAACCAACTGCTGATAGAAATGCAACTGCCGCAGCAGCAGTTCAAGATAATACTGAATTTGCTCAAGAAGCATTAAAATTACATAATGAATTAAGACGTAAACATGGCGTTGAACCATTAAAATTAAATAATGATTTGTCAAAATTAGCTCAAGATTGGGGTAAATAATAAATCAATATTTTTAATTTGAAAAAAAATTATTTTTTTCTATCTTGTATTTTAGCTAATCATTTAGCTTCAACTAGAGGACTTGTACATAGTAAAACAAAATATCGAAATACACAAGTTGGAGAAAATCTTTATTGTCAATCATGGCCAATGACAGGTTTATTATTTATTATTTATATTATATTATATAGTATGTATATATTTTAGGTAAGGAAATGACTCAATCATGGTATAATGAATGTAAGAAATATGATTATCATAATCGTCAATTATATCAATCTGATACTGGACATTTTACTCAAGTCGTATGGAAAAATTCGCAAGAAGTTGGTTTTGCACAAGCACAAGGTAGTTCAATGAATTTTGCTGTTGCAATGTATTATCCTGCAGGAAATTTTCTTGGTGAATTTGATAAAAATGTTTTTCCTCCAAGTTAAATTTATTATATGTATATATACAAAAAACAATTATGTAAATGTTCTGGTTTTTATTGCAATCATTTGGAAAGTACAATATAATTTTCTTAATCTTTTCTTTTAAAATTAACGTTTGATAAGAAAATAAATAACAAGAAAAACGAATAAAGCAAAAAGTAATAGATATAAATATATTTTCCAACCACCAGATCGAGCTAAATTCAAAACACGACGACGTGCTTGGCCAAGTAGACTACCTGTATTATCCATATTGTCGTGTAGCTCCTACAAAACAAAAGAAATTCTATATGATTGATCAACAAATCTGAAAGAGTTTTTTTGCATATCCACTGCCGATTTCAAAATAAAAGATGGGTGGGCATTTTCTTGAATAATTTTCGATAGCAACAAAATGGAAAGTAGCGATTTGCATCGTCGGAAAAGGGCAGTTTATCTCGGAAGACTGTTGCACAAAGTTTTTAGAAAAACAGTATGTCTCTCATTGGTAGCATATGGATTTAATAAGAATGTCTGACTACAGCTCTTTGCAACGATGGAAACCGCACCGCTCCATCTTGTTCCTATCGAAAACTATTCAATAAATATTCAACTGCCTTTTATTTTGAAATAGACAGTAGTTTTAGGGTACTATTTAAATGATCAGTTGTTTTTCCTATAGTGTAATCAGTAAATATATCCTTTCTGAGCAGTAAATAATGTCGAATGTCAGTAATCATGATCAGGGCTTGGGTGTGAACGCGCGTGTGAGTGTAAGTGTCCACTCACACCCACATCCATACCCACACCTACACCCAGTTTGAATTTTTTACTGATAATTCACAATAAAACTACTGATCATTTTGAATAAAAAACTGACCATTTAATTTGTACTCGTAGTTTTATGAGACTATGACTAACATGAATAGAACAGAAAATAGTATTTGATTACTTAAGCGTCGTTATTTAACAAGAAATTCTCTCTAACATTTATGTATGTAGATAATAAAAGTTCGAAATTATATCAAACCTGTAGATATTTATTCTGGAGTTTTGTTTCGTCACCAATTTGTACTGCTAGATGTTTAAGTTGATTTACTTTCGAATTTAATAATTCCGTACGTTGTTCATTTTGTTCTTCGATGTACGAATAATTCGTACGTCTCGAATGTGTATTTGATTGCCTTCCATCACTCATTTTCAATAACTAAGCATCTAAAGTTAGACTATGATACATATGAAATCATCACACTCATTTTCAAATTCATTTTTTATTGAATTATAAAAGAAAAGAAAACAAAACAAGAATATTAATCATTCGAATACTACTTATCAAAAAGAAGGTCAAGCAAACAAGAAAAAACACTGTACAAGAATAGCACGCAAATATGATCACAACAAAAAAGAAAACAAAATTCAAGCTAGGAATGTCACAGTCTTACTGTTCATAGACATTATATGAAAAAAAAACAAGAGAAAGGACGGAAAATCACAAATGTGTTCGAAATAAAAACTATTTTCCAAAACTACTACTAAAAAATCTTCGTTCTTTGATTTTTGTTAAACTTGATGAACGTGATTTCTTTTCACTACGGCCAGATCGTTGAGATAATGAAGGTTGAGTAAGAAGTCGTTCACGTAATCGATTAAGTTCAAGATTTTTTAATTCTTTTATTTTCGTTTTTAATTGATCACGATCTTTACTTGATTTAATACCCATTGCCTATTAATAATAATAATAAAAACTTTAGTCGAAAGCAAAAACAACCCAAATACCTTCATTTTTGATCCATCAAGTACTAATAATTTCTCACCATCTATATTACGATTGAGAAATGTAGGAATAAATGATGTTAATCTTTCAATTGTTAACCATTGAATACATTGATCGGTTGTCCAATCTTTTATCTCAATATACTAAAAAAAGAAAAAGTTTAAACAAACAAATCTATTATTAAATTTCAATTTTACCTCATCACTTGAAAATCCTTGGGTTCCTGAAAGAGAAAAAAAACCACATGGTTATTTATGATTAAAAGATTTCGAACTAAATCATAGTCATATGCACTTTATAACCTAGGTCAAAGATTATATTTCCATAAATAACTGACATATTACTCGGTACTGAATAGAATGAATACAAATGGATCTAACGGTAAAGATTGGATATACCAATCATATTCTAACTAGATTCGTTAAAACTCGATCAAAAATACATCACTTCGAACTCAATTAAATACTGCAATAGACATTCTGCTAAGCGATACGTTGTTATGTAAGTCATAAATTTTATTTACTTGTTTTTTCCATTGTTAGATCTCTTGTAGTACCAAATTTATTACTAAATAAAATATAAAAAGAATTGTTTTTTCTTGTTTAACATGTAATTATAATTTACTCAATCATATAGGAATCATTTGAAATTTCACCAAGTGATGGAGTTGAAACATGCATTGATGGAACGTTTATTGTACATGCTTTAATCAGAGGACGTTTATGTATTGGTGAACTTCGATCAAGTTGATCACTAGATTTATTATTAGTAATAGTTGCTAAATAAGAAAAATTATGAAGAAAAAGAATAAAATTTAGTGGTATATATATACTTGTACGTATTGATAAAGGTTCGAGATCTTGTTGTGAACGAGTTAATATTTTTTCTAATGATAACGATGGAATGCGAGTTGATGATAATGTCATAGGATTTTGACCAGAACTTGTACGAGATCGAAATGCTGTACGGTCAGATACATCAGATGGATACGATGCTGTCATTTCAGTAGTCTTGAGAGACGATAGACTATTTTCAGATTTAACGGTCGTAGCAATCACTTTTTCAAGTTCTTCAATCTAATAATAATAAATAAATTCGTCTTTCTTTTTTTATATGACTAATATTTGTTCTATTGAAATTATCATTAGTAGAGACAATTTAGTTAAGTGCTCAAACATTATTGATGGAGACTTGAGTATAATATCATTCTATTATTTAGATAGCCTCCTACGTAATAAATAGACCGTTATTTTTCCGAGAAAATGTATATAAGAGCTACCACATTTTTTTTCTAGTGTTAACGATCATTTTTATCATATCTCACAGTACATTCATATATGATTTTATCTATTCAGAAACACGTGAGTAACTCGTTTTCTTTTCTCTTACAGACAAATGCATTGGATCATTATATTAGGGTAGTATTGAAATTCACTCTCAGATTAAGATTTATCGAGATCCTCGAATTTCCCCAGTGTCATTATGTGATTACATATGTTTAAAAATAGCTCCTGGTAACTATATTGAGGGGTTTAGACTATAATATTATTATTCTGATAACAGTAGATTAATTTGTCACATGTATTTTACACTATATCTGTGTTGTTATAATTCGCAAATGCTCATTTTAGTTTCGCCAACAAGCCCCCTTCCGCACACTTTCTGAAATATATATCTAAATCAATCGGTGGGCTAATTTCAATCTGTTTATTACAAACCTTTTTCATTAATTCTTTGATATGTTTGTCTTGTCGTTCAGATATTTCTATTTGTTGTTGTCGTAATTTTGTATCTCTATAAAAAAGAAAAAAAAACATTTTCAAACGAAGAATAAAATGTAATGATTTCTGATTCCATATGAATATAGTGAACAAAAAGCGATATTTGTTTTTAGTAATTTTTTACCAACACCTCAATACGTACATAGATTTTATTTGTTTCTTTTAAATAATAAGTGAAAAGAAAAATAAAATCACTTTTAGTCAAAACAAAAACAAAAGAAAATAATGAGATTTTTGTTGTAGATACATACCGATCTTGTAAATCTTTAATTAATATTGTTGCTTGAAAATATTTTTCTTCTATTTGTTTTAAATCCTTTTGGGCTTGGAGATAAAGTTGCTAAATAAACGAGAAGAATTTAAGTTTTTTTTTCTTTTTTGCTAAATCTAAAAAAATATTTTATTACCTGATATTGTTGTTTTTCTTTTTCTGTATTATCTAAAGTTCTTTCTAATGATTCATAACATTGTTTAAGTATTTCAATTTCAAATTCATTTGACATTTTTTCATCAGTTGGCTAAAAAAGAAAAATAGAATAGATAAATATTTTAAAAGCATTGTTGAATTTACCTCCTCTTCATCTTCAACATCATGAAAATTTTGTTCATAATATGCATCATGATATTGTTGAAATGTGTCTGATATATCTTCATGTTGTTGGTCTAATTGTAGAGATCGTTGAATAAGTGCAAAAATTTCAGATTTTTCAGGTTCTTTTTCACGACCAATAATAAATCTTAAATATTCGAGATTTTTTTAGAATTTATAATTAAGAAATATTAAAATCCTACTTTACAACACCAGATGTTGTTTTAAGAACATTTGTAGCACATGCATGTGTTACCCCGACAAGTGATTGTCCATTTACTTCGATGATTTGATCACCGACTTGAATACTAATTGATGAAAAAACAGAACATTAAATTTAAAATATTTAATAAAAATATTAATTACCGTCCATCTTTAGCAATTATTCCCTGAGGATTAAGAGATTTTACAAATATACCTAATTTTTCTAATCCACTATCAGCACCAACACCCATTCCCAGTACACTAAAACAATATTCACTAATGAGAATTCTATTAGATATATATATATATATTCTATACCTAATACCAAGACCATCAGGTCCTAAAAGTAAAGAGATTATTTTTTCTTTAAATAAATAATTAATTTTCGAATTATACCTTTTTCAACTTCAACAGTAAATATATTCATTTTTTCAATTCGTTTTTCTAATTCATATTCAGCAGCTGCTGCAAATGGATTAATATCTTCATTTCGTCGATCATATTCACTTGGTGAATATGTTGGATAAACCTATAAGATTATTGAATTTTGTTATTCTTATTTTCAATCAATTGTTTTCTATTCATACTCGAATTGGTGCATTACTAAATTTAACTCGTCTAGTATCATTTGATAATGTATCATCGCTAGTTTCTGGTAAACCAGGTTTTTCATAAAACAATGGTGTTGATGATCTGTCATCAACATGTGCACAAACGGCTTCTAAATATAATAAAAAAAATACGATTGATGATGATTGATTATCTTTATTTTACGTGCATACACTTTAAAAATATGATTAACTAACTCAAGATAAGATGATTTCTTATTCTCATGAGTTTCTAAACATATTTTTAATGATAGACAGAAATGTTTGCCATGCCCTTTGAAACTAAATAAGAACGTAGGCGTCTTATAAAATCCATTATTTTCTTCTTTTAGCTATGTATAAGATAACATGTACTATTTATGATAAACAATGAGATTGACAAGTCTGGTTAAATGTCAGTTATTTTTAGAGAAGATAAATTTTCTTCGGACTCTTATCAAACCTTTCAATAACAAATCAACACTTTCTTTTTTTTATACAAAAGATTTGTTTACCATGAAATATTGGATTTTCAACTGTTTTTAATTGTTCTTGTTTTGTATTATTATTATTATTATTATTATTATTATTATTATCTTGAAAAATTAATTTCGGTAATGATTGTTCAATTTTTGTCGGTTTAACAAAAACTGTATTCAGATGATCCATACGTTTAAGAACATTAAATGGTAAAAAACGAGTTGTTATTTGTTCATTTTTTGGATCATTTTCATCCCGTTGATGTTTTTTTAATTTTAAAATGGTATCAGAAGGATAATCATAATGTTGTTCTGCATTTGAATATCTTCGATTAATTATTGCATAAGGAGGAGCATCTTCATTTGGTGGATTCGAAACTACATCATATGATCGATTTGATAATGTACTACTCATTGATTGTGCGGATGTATTATGATTATGTTCTTGATGTTTATTAGCCATTGCTTTTGTTGTCATTAATGGTGCATTATTACATATTGATGGATCATTTAATGTTTGAAAGTTTTCTTTTGTTTCATGATAATTTGTTGGATGAATATTTGTTAGTAATGGATAATCATCTGAATTTAATTTATTTGCCATTAATGAATGTTCTGTGAATATATTACGTAATCGAGTAACATGACCATTATATTTATTATTATCTGTATGAGAAGTCTCTGTTGGAGTATCAACGATAAAGTTTGATGCAGAATCAGTATTGGTAAGAGGAGATGGTATTGCTGAATGAATAAGAATGTTTGCCATTTATTATCTTCGTCTTAATTGTTTGTTTGGGCGTCAAGCTTGTCGCCTGTCGTAATATCTTTCTTCTATCGTCTTAACAACCGTTGTTGCATACATCAATCAATAGTAGAAATATTTATTTTATCCTTGGTTTTAACAGAGATCTTGCTGGTAATCATTAGAAATAAAAAAGATAATTCAGAACAGATTCAAAAACAAAACAAAACAACTATTATCTAAAGAAAATAAACGTTTAATCTTATGAAGAAGAAGAAGAAAAAAAAAAGATCGATTATATTTCTATCGACCATGGAAGAAGAATGTAAGCAAATATTTCATATAGACATTAGTTAATTTAAAAAATCAATAATAAAATTAAGATCCCTTACAGCATTAAGTTTTTTTTGTCAATATCGACTGGCATGCTGAAAGCATTACACGAACGAAAAGAGAATTAAAATAAACATAAGCAATTATTTGTTATATAAGAACGCCAACCGTAATATATTCTATTTATACTACCAGACTTTGACGACATCTACATGACCCTGTCCAGTTTCTGTTATTTGTCATAGATTCTTTTTTAAGAACAACCATATAAGACGACGCGAAAGAGAACGACTAATATCTTGTCTTTTATTCTTATCTTCACATAACAAATCTATTTATAATTTCCTATTTATAAATATGCACCTTTGACAATATTATATTTAATAATTCATGTTGCAGATCTAAAAAAGTCTAATAATGCATGTTTTTAACAACACTTATTTGATTGTCAATAGTCATTGAAAGACAAGAGAAAATATTTTCTATCTTTATCATTATTAATACATTCCATCCAATTTTTTTTTCTTCTTCTTTTCTTTAATTGTTCTTATAAATAAATAAAGTCATCTTTTTAAAGATGAACATTTATTAAGAAGAATATTTCAAGCATGAAAAGAGTCATGCGACCTTATTGCGATGATATAAATATTATTAGAAAGAAGAAGGAGAACAAGAAGAAGAAGAGAAAAAAAGAACTCTTCTTCCTTGTCATTTGAAGATGCAAAGATCTAAATGACGAAACATAAAAAACTATCTAGAGTTATTTTTAGCCTTATCTTTTTTTCTTCTTCTCTTCTCCTCTCTTTTTCTCTTCGATTCAATGTTTGTCTACGTCATGATGGCATACTAGGGTGCTATTGATGCTTGCTGTTAGATTTCTTTATTGTTGTTCTATGATGTATGTCTTATATATCAGCCATAGAGACATTTTATTTTTATAAAGGTTATTGATTAATGATAAGGCTTGTGGAATTGAAAAGCTTTTCTCTTCTATTTAGAAGTTTTTATCGATATATTTTGAAATTAAAATAAATTTTCATAGTTTTTTTTCAAGCGTTAAGTACATTGTGATAATTTATTATGTATCATCGTATTTATCATAATTATAGATGACTAAAATAGATGAGAATAAAATTATCTATTCAGTACACATAAAGAGAATATAATATGTCATTTTAAGAGAGAAATACGTTCGATAAAAATAGTAATTGATGTAGAGAAAGAAACAAATAGCAACAATAACAACAACAAATACAATATAATACGATTAAATAAAGAAGAAGAAACAAAGGAAGAAAGACAGGTAAAGTATTATGTAAGAGGAAAGAATGGTGATTATTTTCGTTCGAAAGATTTGAAAGAAAAAGAAAAATACATTTCTTTCTTTTTTTTTAGTTATTAGGCATGTTTTTCTTCTTTCTTTTGGCGCAGAATTTCATGTCCTCTTGTGACTATTGCTATTTTTAGTTTTTATTCTGTTCGTCCCGTCTCATTTTTCTTCCTTCTTCTTCATCTATCCATTCATAAAAAAAGGTATATACCAGTGCTTTTATGTTGCTACTTGTTTTTTCTTTCTTTATGTTGATAGGAAAATGATATTACCTCTATAGAGAGAGAGAGAGAAAAAAAAAGTTCGCTCTAATACCATCAGAAATTATTCAGATGTATTTTAAGCAAGCTTATAAATAGATATAATATATATATATCAAAAGCTGTTTATTTTTGATTATGAACTAGAGTTATAATTCTATTCTTAGAATTAATCTTTCATTTTTTTATATTTAAAAGGTAAAAGTAGTGATAGTAGAAAAGAAATAGGTCATAAAAGTGGAATTTATTTAAAACAAGAAATCTGTCATCATTATCACTTGTCGGATAATATAATAACCTTCTATATTTTTTCCTAATTATTAAAATATGATAACCTTTCGTATTATTTTTCCAATACATAAATCGTAAATAGCATGTTTTTGTCATGTTCTGAGCTTAGTTTTTTTTTCTTTCTATTTTTTTTCCTTTTCTTACTACTCGGTTTTTTGCTTTTTTTTTATTCGTCTCATATGAAGAAAGAGAATAAGACATGAAGAAGAAGAAGAAAAAAAAACATATACTCTTCGACCAAAACTGACTGACATACACTATACAAAGAGATAAAGCAAAACTAAGTGAGAGTAGCATCTGCAAAGAAGTATGAAAAGAAGAGTAAATCATTTTTTTTTGCTTTTCTCTTCCTTGTTCTTCTTTTCTTTTTTTTTATATATGTATTTCTATTGTTTTTCTTTGTTTCATTTTTAGAAAGTTATATATTTCGTATCTAACAAATCTTCATGGTTGACTTTTGTCGACCATCATCATTGCCAGGCAATAATACACTAGGCTCTGGTAATAGTAATAATAATAATAATAATAATAATAACAACGACAATAATAATAAAGAAGGAAATTCAAAATATTTTCCACGAGTATTTGTAAGTATTTATTTAAAACGAAAAAAAATAATAATAGAGAAAATACGAATATTATATTCTGATAAGAAATATTCTAAAGGATTCTAATTCAATTCATTTTTCATCTAATAAATCTAAGACAAAGATAATGTCCTGAAAGTTTCTCATAGAAGTTATATAGTAACAAAATAAATAAATAAATCTATGTATATATTAATTATTATTTTTTTGTTTTTCGTCATTCATTTTTTTAGCTTCCCTATCCACATCTGATTGATCCTGATAGACAAGAATCCGTAACAGCAGCAGTAGTAGCAGCAACGGCTGCTGCAGCTGCCGCATCATCATCATCATCAATGGATCACACACGTCTTGAAGAAGAAAGACGACGTGTTCAAACTAAAGATAAAAAAGATCAAAGTGAATATTTTTCTTCTATTTTCTTGTTCTAATCAAATATTATTATTATTATTATTCTAGGTGCTAATGCATCCGCTGAAGTTAAAACACATTTAAAAACTTTTTTATGCCGTAAATTACAAAAACAAGGCAAATTAGAGTAAAAGATTTTGTCATTTAAGAAAATAAATATTATTATTTTGAAATTTTTGTTTTTCATATAGAAATCAAGATTCAATGGATATGCTTCGACGATTTCAATCTGAACCTGTCCTTGCTAATCCACGTCTTGAATCAGGAAATTTTAAAATCAAATCAGACTTACGTCAAAGTATTCTCTATCGCCATAAGCAAGTTACTCCTATGTCAGATAAACGTCATCCGATCCGTTCAACAAATCTAGCTCAAAAACAGCAACCTGCTGGTAGAAAGTTTTTTCTCTTCTAAACTATTTATTTATCTAACTATGAAATATATATTTTTAGTACCTACATTTCCGCTATTATCATTTACTTCCCAATCGGCTCAAATACCTCTACCTGAACAGTTATGGCTTGCTTTTCCACGTTCAGTTTATGGTTGTTATTCAACAGGTAATCATTATACAATTATTTTCTTCTGACTCGACAAAAAAACCCAAATTTTAATTTTAGGTAATTTGGGTGAAAATGCTCAACTTAATCCTTTAACAACGGGAACACATGAAAATCATCAACATACAAATATTCTTGGTCCAAAACATTTTATTGTTGAAGAAGAAAATGAAGCTCTATTAGCAAAAGAATTACAAGAAGCTAAAATTCAAAGTACACATAATAGTCTTAGTTCAATGCATAGTAGTCAACCACATTTATTAAATTTTGAAACAACTGATTTTTGTCTTCGACATCCAAATGTAAAGAATAATTTGAAACCCAAATATTTTCTTACTTTTTATTTAATTCTAGTTATTACTCGATCGTTTAGCATTGCATTCCAAATCATTATCTTCATTATCAGCCATACCATCAACAACAGAAAAAAAAATACAAAAAAGTTCTTCTGGTACTATACAATTACGTTTTACTACTGGTAAAAAAAAAAACCCGAAAAATGTTTTTTTTAGTGTATTTATTTTTTTAGGACTTGCCTATGATGATGATACATTAAAACATGAATGTTATTGTAAACGTACGGATCTTCATCTTGAGAATCCTCGTCGTCTACTTGTTATATATGAACATTTAAAAAGATCAAATTTACTTGATGATTGTGAAATTATTCGTGGTTGTTGTGCAACCATCGATATGTTAACTGATTGTCATGAGTAAGTTAGAAATTTTCGATTTCAAAATTAGCATAAGTGAATACAGATGATTATAGCAATTTTAATATTATTCATATATATGCATAGTTATATGAGAGAGAAAAAAGAAAGTAGGTTATTGTGACGTAAACCTTTCGGATATATTATTAGGCTAATTTATTAAAATTACGAATTTACGGAAGAATAATTAATGCCATACGGTTTTATACACTTCAATATAACTTATAAATTACTTTGAGAAATGTTTACCATTAGTTATGTAATAAGTAGAAAAGGTTTCTTGTATCATAGGTGAGTAAATAAATTCCATTAAAAAACAATACTTGAATATGATTTTTAAAATGTACTTTGAGAACAAATATTTAAACCTCGATGCCATTTCATTTGAAATAAGTCCTAGGAAAAATTATTTATGGTCTATACGGAAGAATACTCACCGGATATAATATATTTATTGCTTTATTTTATCCTCATGATATTTCCGGATGCCGCCGTCGGCTTATAAAATAGGAAGTGTACAGGAGTACTTCTATATCAAGTCCATACAATTATTTCAATTCAACTAATCCATACAAAATTTCTTCTATATATATTTAGTCCTGGTCATGTTTATCTATTTGGTTGTGATCAAAGACAACGTAGTCAACAATCACCAGCAATATTAGCTGAACGACTTAAATCTCTAGTACATTTACCATGTGGTGGTTTTGGCATACACGATGATGCAGATACAATATGGAATGATGAATATACAGCACGTGCATGTCGTTTAGCTATTGGTAATACAATTGAATTATCGAAATATATTCTTGATGGAAAATTAAAAAATGGTTTTGCACTTGTACGTCCACCAGGTCATCATGCGACCCAAAAACCTCTGGGTTTTTGTTATTTCAATACAGTAGCTATAGCAGCAAAATATTTAAAGAAACATCGAAATTTAGAACGTATTGCTATTGTTGATTGGGATATACATCATGGTAATGGTACACAAGATTTAACATATGATGATCCAAATATTCTTTATATGTCATTACATCGTTATGATAATGGAACATATTTTCCTGGTGGTGGACGAATAGAAGAAGTTAGTTTAAATATTTTAACAACAAAAGAAAATAAATAGTTCGATTTTTTTTCTTTTTAATTAGTGTGGTTGTGATGATGGTCTTGGTAAAAATGTGAATATTGCTTTTTCCGGTGAACCGCAATCAGTTATGACCGATGTTGAATATTTAGCAGCATTTCGGTAAATAATATTTGTTTAAATAACAAATAATAAGTTTTTTCTTCTGTTCTTTCTGTTCAGAAGTGTTGTTATACCCATATTAAAACAATTTCGACCTGAAATTATTCTTGTTTCATGTGGTTTTGATGCATGTACAGGACATCCTCATCCACTTGGTGGTTATGAATTAACACCGACATGTAAATAAAATAAAAAGAAATTCAAAAAAACAATCTAGTTTTTTATTTATTTAGGTTTTGCTTATATGACAAAGGAACTAATGAATTTAGCTGATGGAAAAGTTGTTCTTGTTTTAGAAGGTGGTTATGAATTAAATGCATTAGCTGAATGTGGAAAACAATGTATCGAAGCATTACTTAATCGACAAGTATAATCAAACATTTTTTTTGTTTATTTCAATTATTTTATGATTTGATAATTATTTAGATACCTACGTTCAGTAAAGAAACTCTTGAAACTAAACCAAATCAATATGCTGTACGTAGTTTAAAACAAGTTATTCAAGTCCAACGTATGTAGTTTTATATTTATTTTAAATTGTTATTCATTATCGATTTATTTCTAGGTGAATTCTGGCCTCTGCTTGAACAATATAAACATTTGATTTCTATGTCACATGCAAAGGCTACTGAATCATGATTAAATGTCATTTCATCGTTACTGCATATTACGTAAAAGTCTTTATTATATGGATGTTATTGCTAATGACGATGAGTATGTACAGAATAGTCTGTTTCTTTAATTTACATATTTGGTCGATTATCTCATGGGGTATTTTACCGGTGATCGTAAGACTCATTTATTATATTTGTCATCATGTTCTGTTTTTCTATCTATATGTGTGTATATTAAGGCTAATTCCTTTTTGAATAACTGCTAAGCAGTTACTTAATTCTAATTTGCCTTCTAACCAAAGCCATAACAAATAATAACCTCCTCTATGTAGCCAGATTTTGTTCTTCTTCCCGTTTGTTTTTTTTCGTTCTTGATCTTTGTCTATTGCTGTTTGTTTTATTTTTAAGCTGATATTTTTTTCTCTCGCTGGAAATTTATAAATATTTTCTTTTTTTTTTCTTTTTCTTTTTCGTGTTTTGAAGTTTTCTCAATATCGCTCAACTTGTTTCGTATATATCATGTAATTGTGTTTCATTTTTTTTTGTTTTGCATGTGTACATGCTTATCACAATTGCAATTTAATCTATGAAATATAGATGAGTTAAGAAAAAAACAGAAATATGCGTAGATATTTTTACGTTGATTAATGCATTTTATCAGGTATGATAACTGATTAAATGTGACATTTATATATATGATTTGTAAATGAATAGGAAAAGAAAAAGCTAAAAATAACTATTATTTCATTTTGATTATCGTCGTAATAGATTTTTGTATAGAGGGAAAACAAACAAACAAACAAAACAAGGCAATGAGGAGTTGATGTATTTGATACTCTTTTTTTTTCTTCTTCTTCTTACTAATGTTGTTTTTATCATGCATATTATCGATTATTATTGTATCGAAAATATAGTAAATATGTCTATCGATATATAGATAATTATTATGACAGAAATATTTATATGAAAAGCAATCTCGTGCAAGATTTCTGATTAATAAATTTGATCCAATGTTTTTCGAAAAATTATTATTCAGGGGATAATTATATATAATGGAAGAGAAACCAAATAGTTTATTCGTTCTATATATTTATATAAATATGGTTTCTATTTCAGAGATGTTTTCTCGAAATAGAAGATCTAGAAGTAGAAAATTTATCAATGTCAGTCTGCTATATGATCTCAAGGGGCGGAGTATTATTATTAATTAAATTATATTATGTGATGTGTTTGCCAATTGAATACTAGGGAAATATGCATATTTACAAGCATATGAATTTTTTTATTTATAGACTTAATTAACTGAGATATCAATATACCATGTTTTTGACAAATTGATGAAATTATCGTTTATTGAGCAAGATATCAAAACCTATTGAAAAGTTTAAACTCAATGAGTTTGGATTATTGCATCTAGTTTTCTTTTAGATCTGTTATATACATAAACCAATTGGAAAACAGGGGGTGTGGATGAGCTGTACTGATTGCCTCCATTCACTTAAATACCAACATTAAGATCAAAATTTGTGAGAAAATGCAACTGTCCTAGACTTTCATATATTCGAAATTCTTTTCGGTACATATAGTGTGTTTTACATAACAAGTAATATTCAGAAAATTTTAGAGTATAAAAGAAATACTGATGGGGAAAAGATAAGAACAAATACTTGTGATATGTATAAAAGTATTTGTACTTCAAAACCTTTTGTTATGAAAATTACATAATCAGACAGATACATTATATCTAAATAGATATCAGTATAAATTATTAACTAAATTTTGTTAACAAATAAAATAAAAGAGATTATAGCCCAGTTAATTTTTGCTTTGTTTGTTAGTGGATTTAGAGATTAGGTTTAAATGGCAAAATATAACTACCTGATCCAGGTAGTCAGACTGTAAATATAATAAGTGAGAGATGACTAAAGTATTTATACTCACACACATATCTCACTTGCCTTTTATTTCCTTAAGTTTTAGCTGTTTTAAAAATAATATTCAATGTCTGCACATGAGATTTACTTCTACTCTCCTTGCTAAACATATATTGTTTACTTCACCTTTTTCGTTTATTATCGAAGCAATATAATGCATTCATTATAGTGTTGCTTTTCGTATTAGTCATCTGAGAAGTTATATAAATGATGCGATCATCTATAGAAGTTAAAGAACAAAAAATCTATTCCTATGATTCATAGAAAGGCAATAAATTTTTGATAAAATGTAAATCGATATTCGTTGTTTTAAATAAGAAGACATTACCTACCTAATCAAGTCTTTCCGACCAATGAAATTCGAGCTTCACTGATATTTCTTCATTCTAGATGACTTAGAAAAAAAGATGAATATAACAGATATGCCTATTATAGAAGCAAACATTTTTTTTGATTCGATTTATTTACATATAAAAAGTCATTAAATAACATATTATAGACCTATTAACTTTTATCGATCATATTAATGTAAACATTTTGCATTTAAAAAAATAAAACGAAAAACTAAATAAATAATTTTTGTAGATTAAAAATAGATATAGTATTAAGGTTTTTTAACAATTGGTGGGGTATTACTAAATGTTTGAGATAAACGTTTGTTTCGAAGTTCCATTTGTGTTTCTATAAGGAGACTTGAACGACGCATTGGTGCTGCTGGATTACGAACAGATGAATTACGACGTACAACTTTTGAGTTTGACGTAGGTAATAATGGTGATTTTTTAGCTACAAAAGAAATATAAATATAGAATAAAATTTATCCCACAAATCTACCTTGATTTTTTTTATTATCGTCTTCGTCATCATCCTCTTGTTTCCACATTTTATAACACATATAAATCATTTTCATAACAATTACAATTCCAATTAAAATAACAGTAACTAAACCAATTCCTATTAAAATATTACTAATCGATGAATCGTCATTTGTTCCTAGAAATAAAATTTTTTTCCATTATTATTATTAATTCGTGTTTTGAAACAAGATAAAAATCGAACAATTACTTTTCATAAAAGTTTTTGGCAAAGATCCATTTAAAGTTCTATTAGTAGTTTCAGTTACATTTAGTGATACTTTTACAATAGACATATCTTCATCATCAGATTCCAATGAATTCATTTTACTTTAATATTAGAACGAAAATTCATCTAATTGTTTTCTTTTTTTAGTAAATCTATCATTAGCGTGTATTACAACAACAATAACGCCATAATGGTTGCTTCTATCGATTCTACCCTTATTTATACCCAAAAAAAGAACAGAAAAAGTATCGAGATAGACGTCCTCCTACGTCATCTTCTCAGTATTAGTCATCCAACAGTTGAAGAAAAAAAACACGTAGATAAGATTGACGAACTCTTCAATGATAATAAAACTATTCACTTACTATAAGGTAAATAATCTTGAAAGGCTGAATAGTATGATTGCTCTTCTGAAGATTGTTTAACATTTATTTTAGGCTCAATATCGATAATTAAGTATGGCTGACGTAGTCTATATAGTATTGATGTATTGTAAGCAATCGCTTTTGAAGAGCATTGATGTTGATGTTCTATATTAACCATTATTAAAATATCACTAAAAAAAAGTACGTTGAAGGGTCTTTTGTATGAGTAAATCAATAGAATGTTTAACGATGTAAATATGTGTTTTTACCTGTTGGCAAAGAGAACGACGAGGGGCGATAATGGTAGACGTAGTTACATCAATTAAAAACAGATAGAAGCAAGTTAATTTATTTTTAAAAGACAAACTGCATTAAATTTAAGACCCTAGAAATACTTTGTCTTAATAGAGATTTTTATTTCGTCAACGAAAAAAGAAAGGAAGAGCAAACAAATGAAATAAATATATTGAGATTGAGTTTATTATTAAGGATTCTTCCAAACTAATTTATTAAAAATAAAAAACTTGAGTGCAAAACTATCTTCTCCACAATAATGCAGAAATGTAACATTCCTATGCACTTATTTTAAAAGAATAAAACAGGATTTTTCATATTGACTGATGTTTTGACTTAGAAACGAAGCATATTTAAGCTACAATCTAATATGAAATTTGATTTTTTTTCACGAAAAAGAATAAAATATTTTCGTATCCTCACAATCGTCTAGTATGAAAACAAGATTTAGAAAAATTTTATGTGCCATAGATAAAAACAATTACCTTACAAATAACATAAAAAAAGCAAAAGAATCAGATTTATTCGCTAAAACATATACAATAAATATTTATTACGATAAAACGAAGTTAACAAATAACCAATTGATTTCGATTAATTTTATATTTCTTGTAAATAGTATATCTATGGTTAAAAATATGCCTAATTATGTCACATGTCAATTGGAAAAACTACATGGTGCGTTTATGTTAAGTCAATATTTGTTCTTGATATTAACAACGATCAAATGATGTTAAAACTTCAAAGATTGTTTTGCTTATAAATTTTATTCGCTATACTTAAGATGATCAATAAATTTATGACTGAATGCATTGTCTTGTTTCTATTTTTATAGTTTTGATAATTTTATTTATTGGTACATACATAAGTAAAATTGTTTATAAGATATTAAATAACTAAACTTTTTGTATATCAATTATAATTCGAAAACAGTTTTCTATAGGAAATCGATCATTTGTTTTTGTTAAACAGAATAATATACTTCTTATAGTATTACAGAAATGTATCTTATTGATTTTAACGGACAACAGGTGTGTATTTAATAGAAACTGAGAGAAAAACAAAGACATGATTACAAATTTCAAGAATACTTTCTCTGAAAAAAAAAGATCTATTTCTTCTATGCCGTAGGTATTTCTAGTGGATGGGGAAAAATTAAAATGTTGATTTTGGTTTAGATTATGAAACAAGAAAGAAATTGGAGAATCAAATATTGTTATTATTAATAGCAAAAATATAAAATGTGTAACTTGGAACTATTTTTACTGTTCATTTATAATCTAAATTTTCTCATCATATAGAATTGACATGATCTTTTCAAAACGTTTAGTGATCAGTATTATTGGTCTTGCTGCTTTCCTGACAATAATACTCATCATCGCTTTGATTCCTATATATATGAAAAACAGTCGTAAAACTACAACAATTATTGAAGATACAACTCTGAAAAACACGATAACAACGATAAGTACAATTCTAGAAAGTGCTCCTCCTGAAGATTATGACGAAGAAGTGTCCAACGATATTGCAATGTTGATCGATACTACCTCACATTCAACTCAGACAATGACAACGACGAAAGTAAAACCAAACACCACAACGAGTCAGACAACATCAACAACAACAAGCACGACAACGAGCTATAAAACTAAAACTACTGCTTTAGACTTACCTTTGGAAGAAATAATAATAGAAGCTAGTCCAATAGTAAATCAGGAAACTGCAACTGATACTTCAGAAGCATCTTCGAAACAAACAACAATAGAACCTGACATAAATTTAGGCCTTGAAATATCAACAACCATAAATTTAGGTCAGGAAATAACAACAAGTAGAATCAGGACTTCGAGAACAAGAACAAACACAACCAGGACTTCGAGAACAACAGCAAACACAACCAGGACTCGAAGAACAACAACAACAACAAGCATCATAGCAGGCCAGGAAACTGCAACTGCTAATTCAGAAACATCTTCGAAGAAAAGAACTGCAGGTTGATTGACGAAGCCATGACAACAATCAGCATAAGTATGAATCAGAGAATAATAGTAACTAGCACAGCAGCAAATCAGGAAAGCGTAGTGATTGCTTCAAAAGTATTTTCAAAGGAGACAATGTTGATAAGTAGCATAACTGCAGGATTGAAAAATGCGACGAGTGCTTTAGAAATATTTTCAGTAAAAACCAGTGAGAGCATTTAGCAGAATGACATATCAGAGAACTGTAACTGCTACGTCGAAAATACCTCTAGAGGATTTAATAACAACAAGACAGACAACGATACCAGTAATTAATCGTTCAATAATTTCTAGTGCAGTCCACTTTTCTGTTACTGAATAATCATCAAACATAATTGAAAGAAGTACCATATTAAGGGCAATAAATTCATCAAGAAGTATGATCAATGATATCATATAGTTTAGAAAAAACCTTATTTTTCATTATTTACCTAAAATATCAAGTATCATAGCATTTTAATCAACTAAACCAATGATCACGAGCATCGATAAATCATAAAAGATCGATCGACTATTATTTAGAAGATTTCTTATATACATTTATACTAAACATTATATGACAAAGCAAGTAGATAATTGAGTTCTTCACTTTCGAATTCTATCATTTTTATGAAAATCCTATGACAATTTTTTATATGAAGGGAAAGTTAAATCATGTTGCTATAACATTATAAAATACACGTCCGTGCTACTTTTTTTTTGTTCAATAAACATTTTATTTTTTTAATTTTTAGACACAGTATAACGAACCAATATTATCAATAAATAATGAATAATTACTATTTCTACGTGAGCATCTATTCCACGATTAATCTTCTGTCATCAATAAAATTGATAAAGGACATATTAAATCAGTTTTTTTTTCATTAAATAATCCATTTTTATAAATTATTCATACTTATATGTATTCATAAATGTAATGGCTATATATTTCCTTTAATATTCTTATTGAGCAGATGTTGTCGCTAACTTGTTCATTACTCTTTCTCACATCGCAATTCCGGAAGAAGATATATACATGTTATATGACCTTTCTGTTAAAACATAAAGAAAAAAAATGGGAAAGAAACTTGAGCATCGATTTTTCCTTTTTTCTCATCGATATATATATATATATCCAAAATAATGACGGATGTCTAGAGTGAATGAACAATAGATTTTAGAGAAAAGAAAAAAAGAACGATAGTTAATCGATGGAAGCTTTTCAAACTAAAGCAATATGAGTAAGTACTGTTGATCTTTTTTTTACTAGAATCACAATGTTTGTATTTATACAAAGATTTAAATATATATATTCAATTGTTCAAAAAATAGACAGGAAACTGTACAAATTCTATATGAGTAGATGAACAGAATTTGTCACCAACCCCCAACTGTGCTATTAAGTACATGTATATAAAGAAAAGCCTTGATGCTTTTTGATTGATCGAGTTAGTTAATTGGACAAGCTAATGTAAACGTCTACTCGTTCATTTTAAAAAGGAAGAATCATATACACATACGCGAGGGGGTCAAACGGAAGAGAACGACTGCTCGTAAATTTCAAAGACAAACATAGAAGTTAGTTGTTCATTGGGAAATGAGTGAAAGGCATTTGTACAGATGTATAAAATGATGAATGCTCGTTATTTTAATGATTATAACCTTTTTTTTTTTCTTCTTTTTTTTCTCACTCGTCTCGTTGCCTTCGGATATAAACTGAACGACACAACAGTATTCATTTTCTAACCAAGATTGCGAATAGAATTGAATAGAATGAAGAAAAAAAAGGTATCCACTTGAGACTTTCACAATGGAGTCTATATCTGTACCTAGAAGCAGTAAGAGCTAATCAAGCAATGTTCCAAATATAATCCATTCTTGATCACATGCATGAATAACGAATTCCATATAAAATAATCCTCTGTCTATCGTCTGTGATTGCCTTGTTTCTATTAATTGCAAATAGTAACAAAGTCCCATAGTGAACAAAAGAAAACTTTTAATTGATAGTAGTAAGATATTCATATATATAGAGAAAGAAGGTCATGAGTTGATTGTTTTTCCTTGAATTGATATATGTATGACTGTCTTTGTCCTATATATTAGAATCTAATTGCATGCGACCATGTGCTTTTGTTCATAAAGTGTGTTATATATGTACTTGTTCATTCATTGTACATGTCTATTGACCATGCAAACTAGTTTTTTTTATATTTTTAATCAACCAATTGAGTATTGTCATTAGACTAGCACTCGTCTATAAACAACGGTGAGAACTATCACTTGAATTACCTACTTGAATAGTCTACATTTGTAGATAGATTTAATAATACTTGATATTTAGATAGTCTATATAGTAGAAGTAACAGCTGACGATGTTGAACTATTAATTCCACTCAATTCATTAGATTCATTGAACGATGTAATTTTTAAAGAGTTATTCGTGAAACTATAATGTGAGAGTCATCTGCCTTTAAGATTGTCTAATGATAGAAAATTCATCTTTCATTTGCATTAGTTTGTATTCAGGTGCAATGAACATCTGTGTGAATCTTTAGAAGAAGAAGAAGAAGAAGAAGAGAAAAAATGACGAGAGAATACGTTATTACATCACTGTATATGTCTTCTTATCACTCATAGTTCACAATTGAATGTGACACAAACTAAGTATAATTTGCTTTTAATATCTTAAATAGAAATAAGAAACTCTTCATAAATGAAATAGCATTCTTTTTCTTCTACTTCTTCTTTGTATTAGGACCTAACTGATTCCGCCTTCTTTACTCATTGACAAAATTCAATTTAGTTTGTTAAACACATGCATGTGCTGGTTATCATGGGAAAGCTACGAGCTGCTGTTCTTTACTAATAAAAGGTTATTCTCATAGTCATTATTAGTGCTTCTTGTTCTACATGTTCATATGCCACAAGTCATTCTCTTCCGGTTTAGTTCTGATCGTAGCTGTTATTATCCTCCCACTGTGCTTCTTAGTCGTCGTTTGAATGATGATTATCGACGACTAATTGTATATAGATGTGAGCGTAGAGAAAGAGAGAAGGAGAGAAGGAGAGGGAGAGGGAGAGGGAGAGAAAGAAAGAAAAGACCAAAGAGAATGAATAGAAATAAGCACAACCACTGTGCCTGTTCATCAACTAATACGATCACAGCTATCACCAACCGTGTCAGATATTGTTCGCACGTAGAGTAAAGATTTTTTTTTATATGTCTTCATAGTTGTAGTCATCTTTGTGTTCATCTAATTATAAAGTTGAGCATATCATATGAACAAGATATCATATCATGAAAAGTTTGTGTATCGATTTTGAAATATAGGTTACGTCTCATTAACTAAACATGATAATACGTTTGTCTCTTCATTACTTGTCACTTTCTTTTTGTTTTGTCTTTAAATTCATCAATATAATAGTATGTTCAAATTCAGCTATCATGATTTCTTCACTCCCTCTTTTTTTCTTCTTTTTATGTAAATATTTTTTATTAAATCTATATAAATAATACGGTTATTTTTGAAATCAATGTGATTTTTTGCTTGACAATCGTTCGACCATTAATAACAATAGTATTAGTTCAATCGTAAAAACATATTGACTATGAATATTTTTTCCAATAGCACTTATTATTATTGCTCCGCTTGATAAATGCATACTCGCGTACATAGATTTTGTCGTTTTGTCTTTTTTTCATATTTTCTGATTAAAAAAAAACCGAGAACGTTGTTTTATTACTAAAGATTGAATAGTAATTCCTCCGATCTGGTCTGTATAGAGAGAGAGAGAGAAAAATCATGTATATAAACCCTACAGCAATTGAATACATATGTGTTGAACAGTCATGTTGAGTTATCATATTAAGATATTATGCAAGTACATAACATTTGCGCTAGTATTGATGACTAAATAGGAAATATTCTTTGAATTAATCATTCTATTGTTTTTACATTCAGCTTATTCTTCTACTTCACATATTATCCTTGTCATATGTAAATGATAGTAACGAACTAAAATATAAATTATCATTAATGTTAATCTATATTTAACAAACGACTGATTATATTACTATCTTTTCTAGATATGTCAATCATTATGAAAATATTCGTATGTATTATTATACTATTTATTCAAACAATTTCTTCTCTTGAATTAAGTAAATCTTGAAATTAATTATAGTATAATTTAGTTATTATATATATCTATATATTTTATTTCATAGAAAAATTATCAACATGTCAAACAGCATTAGGAATGCAATCGGGTTCTATTCCAGATTCAGCTATATCAGTATCGAGTAGTTATGATTTAAATACTGTTGGACCAAAAGCTAGTCGGTAAGTTATTTAAATATATATTTTATTTAAGAATAATTTAGTTTCTTGAATTTTGTATAGAGCACGAACTGAACAATATGGTGGTGCCTGGTGTCCATTAAATCAAATAACATCTATGCCAACAGAATGGTTAGAAGTTAAATTTGAAAACTTAACTTATTTAACACAAGTTGAAACACAAGGACGCTTTGATAATGGACAAGGAAGAGAATATGCAGATAATTATATATTAATGTATACACGATCAAATAGTATAAAGAATGATCAAACATTATGGATTGAATATAAACCAAAAAATCAACAGAATAATGCAACATGGATACAAGCTAATCAAAATACTTATATAGGAGAAATTCGTCAATTAGGTAAATGATACACAAATGTATATCTACTAGGATTATTTATAAAAATATTAAAAATAAATAATCAAACATAAGTGAAATATAATAATATGTATACAGTAAAATCTTACTATAGTGAATATCCTTCTGACTTTTCAAAAGTGTCCACTATGGGGAGTAGGATAAATAGCAGGAATTTTCGAATATGTTTATCATATGATTAGAAGAAAACCCTTGCTTTTCGGCTACCTTTCAGTACAGGATGCTGTCTAAGGCCAGGTTTAGAAGCTTGGCCAGGTACAGAGTTCTTCACACTCGATTTCTTAAGCCGGTCATTTCGTGACAAATAGCCATTAGTGACTTGTATAGGGTTATGTGCGATATCCACTATAGTAGGTTTTAATGTAGATCAATTGTTGACAAACGATTTACTTATTTTATCATTTTGGAATCATTGATCGACTAAATAGTTGATATTTAAAGTAGTTTCAGTATCTCAACTTCTAACTTCAATAGTAGAAATTTTTTATATCCATATAAAGATCTTAATAAATATATTTTATCATTTAGATCCACCTATTGTTGCTAAACGACTTCGTTTTTATCCTGTTAGTAAACAACTTCGTACTATTTGTATGCGTGTTGAAGTGTAAGTTTATTCATTATGAGTTCTTTTTTTTTGCAATTCAATGAGTGATTTTGATTTCTATTCTAGTTATGGTTGTTTATTTTCTGATGGTATTGTATCTTATTCAATGCCACAAGGACGTACTGATATAAATTCATTTGGTGATGATACATATGATGGAAAATATCTTCCTTCTAAGAATATGTTAATCAATGGTTTAGGACAATTATCTGATGGTATTACAGGTTCAGAAGAAATCTCAATTATTGATGGTCGTCAACCATGGATTGGTTGGTCAAATGAAACAAGTACATATATAAGAATAAAATTTCAATTTGATACCATACGTCAAATAAATCGTGTTAAAATACATACAAATAATTTATTTTCAAAAGAAATTCTTATATTTAAAACTGCAATTATATCATTTTCAAATGATAATGATGAAAAAAATTATTCAAATAAAATTATTTATCAACATAATCGTGATGATATATTTGAAATAGCACGTCCTGTATTAATTGAATTAAATAATCATATAGGAAAATTTGTACGTTTAGATTTATATTTTGATTCAAAATGGTTATTAGTTAGTGAAATAACATTTGATTCACAAATATATAATCCAAAGAATGAAATTAAAGAAAAAACTCTTAGAAAATCTTTAACCGTTGAAAATGATCTATATAAATATAATCGAAAATTATATCAAACAACAATATCAATGAATTTACAAACAAAAATTCCATCGATTATAACAATTGAATTATCTTTAGCATTTCTTATTGGTGCATTAATAGCTATTGGAATATTATTAATTGTTTCACTGATATGGATTATTCGTCGAAAGAAAAAATTACAATTTCAAAAGTAAATATTATCTAAAAAGATTTTTTCATAGATTTTTTAATTCAAATTTTTAGATTAACTGAAAAACCAGGTAGTAATTCATCATGTTATACATATCCAACATTACCTATACGTGAATTTTATGATTTAAATGCACCTATTACAAATACAATTGATGAACGTGAATATGCAGCATCCGATATAAATTTCTATTCAACATTTTCACCTCCAAATAATTTATATAGTCCTCGTTTAATACGACCATCAATTATAAATTCAAATGCATATCCAACAATAAAACCAATTTCATATTGTTGTATACAAGAACAACAATATACAACATTATGCCAACAATCATCGATATTATTATCGTTAACACAAGATATTTTACCTATTGAAGGACTTTGTGGAAATAGTTTAATGATTAAAATGAATGTAATTGAAGAAAATCAACAAATATCAATAAATGAAATCAATGATGATCAATTAATTTTTATTAAAAAAATTGGTAATGGGCTATTTGGAAGTATTCATTTAGCTGAAATACATGGAATTTATTTAAATAATAAAATCGAAAAACAACATGTTATTGTTAAAACATTAAATGATAATGTGGGCGATGATAAAAAGTAAGAGAGAACATGTTTAAATACTATCTTTTGGCAATAGGCAGACTTCAATGAGATATCTGAAAAGGATTCATACCTTTGTTTCGAAATTATTTGCAACAAGTAAAATTCGGATGTAATTTCTTCAACCTCAGACTTAGAACCCATTCATGTATTTACTAGGGATTCCGCCGGACCCACGCCAATAGGAAGGTCTCATACTGAGCTGACACTTTCGTTTTGAGATCATTAAGTTTAAATTATTTTGTTATAATATTTTTAGAACATTATTTTGGAAAGAAATTGAATTACTTTCAACATTACATAATTCCAATATATGTTCTCTATTGGGTACTTCAAGTTCACAACGAACAGTAGCTATATTTGAATATTATTCACTTGATTTATATCAATATCTTCGTCAACAAATTATACCATTAGATAACTGTTCAGCATCAAGTTTTTTACTTTCATTAGCATGTCAAATAGCATCGGCAATGAAATATTTATCATCATTTCAAATAATTCATCGAGATTTAGCTGCAAGAAATTGTTTAATTTCATCAATTAATCATCAATTACGTTTAACTGATATTGCAATGGCTAAATCAGAATATTCAAATGATTATGCACGTATTGGACATTTACAATCACGTATTGCTATACGATGGGCGGCATTAGAATCTTTACTTCTTAATCAATTTTCTCTTAAATCAGATGTTTGGTCATTTGGTGTAACACTTTATGAATTATTTACATACGCAAGACAACGTCCTTATCATACATTAACAAATGAACAACTTATACAACAATTTGCTGCTCTTTCTCAACCACAATTATTATCAACATCGTTAGTAACAAAAGATCTCTGTTTACCACAACCAGAATTATGTTCAAAAGAAATCTATGATATGATGTGTGAATGTTGGCAACAAGATGCTCAACGTCGACCATCATTTGCTGATATACATACATTTTTACTTGGTAGAGCATCTGGTTCAACATTATTAATATCACCAGGATTATAGATATTAGACTTGTTTTATGCGAATAAACAAAAACATTAGTATTCTTGACATATGTATAATATACAGAGATTGTGACTATATTATTATTTTTTTTTATTTTTCATTCTTTATTATTAGTATATTATTTCAATCTAATTTCGCATTGAAACCTATATAAATATATTTATGTATATAGATTATAACGATGATTATGGAATTAATAAAAATTTTGACAATATTTTGAATATCTCTTCAAATAAATATATATGTAAAGTAAAAAAAAAGAAAATGTTACATGAGCAGGAGCGCAACGCCTCCCTCCTTTTTGCTTACCAAATTAAAAAAGGCCTTTCATAGGGTCATTCATCCATTGAATTGCCATGAACGATCGTGATACATTTCCCCTGCTGTGGAAATTTGGGTTTAGAGTAGTTACACTCTTCCCTACTTTTAAAATTCGTTCATAAAACATCCCTGTTATTATAATTTATCTACATAATGACCTCCTTGTGCCCGATGAGGTAGTTTCATTAAAGCTATACAGAATCTAACTCACAAATTTCGAATACAACTCAGTAACTATCAATGAGTTTTCTCGTTTCTCTATCAATGAATCAACATTGAGTGACATCTACAGATAACAGAATCATAATACTGTTTTTTTCCTTCCTCATCTACGCAGAAAGAAAGAAAGAAGAAGAAAAAAAAGTCAACAATAAATATTGACGAATAAATAATATTGTAGTAGCACGGACGGTAACAGATGTTCATTAATCTTTAATAAACTACGAAATAAAATAATGAATATGTCTATTTTAATTTGATTACAAATGGGTAATCATCATTCAGTTAAACGTGAATGTTTACATGAAGCAATTCGACGAAAAGATGTTAAAAAAATTAAACAAATTATATATAACAGTGATATAGATTTTATAAAAAATGATTTTAAATCACTTGAACTTGCAACATTATATAATCTTACTGAAGTTGTTGAACTTCTTCTAAGTCGTGGTTGTGTACCAAGAGATAAACGAACAGCACGAGCATTTGATCTTGGTAATAAATTATCAATAAAAAAAAATATATATCTTATAATTTCATTTCATTTTTGTTTTAGCTGTTTGGAAATGTCATAAAGATATTGCAACAATGTTTTTAAAAGCTGGTATTGAATATAAAGGAAGAAATCAATTTAATGAAACTATATTATTTGTTTCGGCTTGTGGAAATAATTCTACATTAACTGAAATTCTTATTGAAGGTGGCTGTGATTTAAATGAATGTACACGTAGTTGGACAGCTTTACATGTTGCTGCGGCAAGAAATCATGATGAAGTTTTACGTGTACTTGTTAAACATGGGTGTGATTTAAATATACGTGATCGCGATGGTAAAAAAAATATTTTCAAACAAAACAAAAATTCTAATTCATATTTTTCTTATCTAGGTTTCAATGCTTTGATGTTAGCAATTTTAAATGAGAACTTAAAAAATATAAAACTTCTTGTTCGATGTGGTTGTTCAATTAATATTGAAGAACTTTATTCTACACCATGTCTTGCCAAACAATTAGCTAAATATCCTGAAATTGAACGTATACTTTGGAATGAACGTACACGTGCTAAAAATTTAAAAGAATTATGTCGTCTTCGAATACGTTCAAGTTTAGGACAACGTTTATGGAAGAAAACATCAATATTACCTTTACCAACACGATTAAAAGATTATGTTGCATTAAAAGAATTATTTCCGACATATGATGAACAACAACAACAAATGACATTAACCCGATTCGCACGTACGAATATTCAAGCAATTCAATCATAAAATAGTCGTTGTTTTTTTTTTACATTTAAAAAACAGTTTTTTGGACTAGTCATGTTTTATGTTGTATATTTAGATCTTTTTGAATATTTTCAGCTTTTATTCATATAGAAAGATCTGGTTTTTTTTCTTCAATATAAATATTTCCAGATATCATATATATTACGTAGTATGAATTTCATTTTGAAATATCCCGTAAAAGAAAACGGGATTTTACATCTTTATCAATAAGACTTTCTCCATTGGTGAAGTTTTTGTAGCCCAAAAAATAAGGAGTATATATTCAACTCGTTCAAAAGTCTTTATTCATAATATTTTATAGGATGAACTTCTACTTTTACCGATCTCATTGAACTATTATTTTAGATTTGACGATGTCGTTTTCATCATCGTCTCGTCGTTCGTCTGCCTCGACAGCTAATCCTAAAGCATCAAAACCAGCTACAAATCCTATACAGGTTATTTCTTCGGATTTGAGTTTATCCTTATTTTTATTATTCAGAATCTTCAAGTAGAAAATGAATCTCTTCGTCAAGAAATCAGTACACTACAACAAATTCTTGCAACACCTCTCGATGAAAATCATCGTTATACACATTTTCGTTATCAAATTTATTCATTAGAAAAACAAATTGCTCTACTTACACGTTTACTTGACGCTAAAAGAGAAGCAGTAGCAACATGTGAAACAATTCTTTTAGAACTTAATCCATTTTTACAGTAAGAAAAAAAGAATTCATTTTTTGATAAAATATTTTTGTTCTTTTTCCATAGAAATCTTAAAGATAAAATTCATCGTAAAGAAAATATCGATGAATCACTTATACAAACATGGATCGATCGAATTGAAAGTAATCGAAAAAAATCATTTAAATCTATGCAGGTAAAATTTGAAATTTCTATTTAATCAATTATATATATATTTTTTTAATAAGGATCATGCAAGTCTATCAGATAATGATACACTCTATGCACCTAATAGTACAAAATTTATGAATCAACAACCAGTTCATCTTTTAGATATATGTTCAGGAAAAATTGAACACCTTAATTTAAAAAATATTGTAAGCAAATCTATGAAGTTTTTATGATGATAATTTTATTTTTTATTAGGCTAATTTAGAAAGTTCATTATATAATCTTCATTCTGAACTTCGTTCATTTCAAAATGAATTACTTGATCAAACAAATCATTGTATTTTTCCTAATCTTAATAAAAATTTACTTGAACATTCAAAAGAATTATCGAATAAAATAAATCTTACAACAAATGAACTTTTTTATTTATCAATTCTTATTCCCACTAGAGTAAATAATTTTAATTTAATGTAATTCTTCGCATTTTAAAAATTATTTTCGTTTTCTTCTTAGCATCAAAAATGTTCATTTGCTCCTGAACAAATAACATCCGATTTAATATGTCAACGAATTAATTCACAATTTCGTTTATCACCAAATATAAAACTTTATTTACAATCAATATTTGATGCACTTATACATTCATTTAATCATGAAATTAATTTATTAAAATTAGAATTAAATATAAAAACAAAACAATTATCATTCTATCGTCATTCATTAACAACTATTCATTGTCAATATATACAAAATTTCATTCAAATATTATCAACTGGACAACAATCATTTAATAAACAATTACAAATACAATTGTATGAACCATTAGTAAATATAATGAAAGAATTTAATCGAATGAATAATGAAAAAACTGATGAATCATTAAAATCATTTTTATTTACTTTTAAAATTCATGTTGATCGATTTAATGAAATTATTCATGATCTTTATCAACAAATTACAGATGGTTCAAAAACTATTGATCAATTATTTATTCAAACAAATGAACAAATGTGGAAAGATATTGAAAAACAACAAAAACAATTACTCAATGAAATATCTTTAATTAAACAAGAAAATATTTCTATTGATAAAAAATCATTTGATGATATTTTTCATTTATTACAAATTTCTGA